GATTGTATTAGGAGAACAGAACATCGACAAATAAGAACAATTGTACCCTGGTTGGCAATTTTAGGCATAACGTTTGCCTTCTGCAAGCATAAAAGGAAACTCAATCGGCGATCGATTCTAAAACGGCAAGGACTTCGACTAATTAAGGTCGCCCTGATCCACAAATGGCGATGCCTAAAATAAAATTATCTCGCCGCTTCGCGATTGATGAATCGTGCTCAATGAGTGCAACTGGTTTGCGTCGAAACAATGAGCAATTGGCCGCCAACATTCATCATTTCGTTAAATTGTCCCGCCAACGCCGCCGCCGTCGACATCTGCTTTCGCTTTGCTCGTAGAAGGAAAAAAAAGGTCGAAGGAAGAGAAGAACATTTCCGGGATACGACTAAACCTGGAACTCATCCAAGTGCAACCGCTTTTTTATCCGTTACAGTTACAATTTGTAAAACGCATCGAGCAGCGCGGCATAAATTCAATTTTCCAGTTTATGGTTTGTGGCATTGCGTACGCCATTAAGTTTGCTCCTAATGGCTGGTATCTGCACTGTTTTTCAGTAAATTGATGTTGACGCATTTATGATCGTAATGCGTGCACTTTTTATTACCCGTTTCTGCGATTAATTAGTGACTACGCAAAGGAAATGGCGTCTTATTAAGAATGTATCGCGCGTCTATTAAAAACTCGTTGGGAATTTCTCTGTTCATTCAACTTCTTTCTAAATTAAGTGCCCTGTCAACATTGTCGAGGTCGAGGCCTTTTTCGACTGGGAATTGGTTTTTCACGCGAAGATTAAGTGGTAGAGCAGCTGCTTTGATTGATGTATTGGACTGTGGTTGACGGACGGATTGTATTTTGAGACAATTTGGGAAATCAATTACAAATTTTATCGCATTGTGGGCTCCCAGAACTCAGAAGGAGAGATTGGACAATTTTTAGCAAGGGTGCCGATTTTCCAAAAGCCGATAATTTCAAGCCAAGTCGCATGAAATTCAAATGATCGATTTGCCACTTTGCTCCCAAATTTTTGGGACATTTTGGGATCCATGATGCAGACTGATGTTTCTTTATAAATTGATTCATGAGCTCCTCGAACTGGCAAAAAGCGATTTGAAGGTTTAAGATACGGAAGGGGAATTCTTTAAAGTTAATTATTTCGTTCCAATTTGGCTATGCGGTTCTGGGGACACTTTGGGATCCATACCGCAAAATTTTAGATCTTTATCAATTGGATAATAAGCTCCCAGAACTGAAAAAAAATGATTAGAAGATTCATACCACGGAAACGAAATTATTAAAAGTTGATTATTCCGTGCCAACTCGCTGCGACATGTTTGGGACATTTTGGGATTCATATCGCAATCTTCTGGGTCTTCATCAATTGGATTATCAGTTCGCAGAACTGGGAAAAAGTGAGTTGAAGGTCCATGCCACGGAAACTGAATTATTAAAAGTCGATTATTACGTGTGAACTCCATACTAGATGTTTGGGATACGTTGGGATCCATGTTGTAGACTTGTGCGTCTTTAAAATGGGAACATGAACTCCCCCGAGCTGGGAAAAAGTGATTTGAAGATTTCTGTCGCGAAAGCGTAATTCTCAGAAGCCGATTATTACGTACCATGTTGCCCGAAATGTTTGGGAGACTTTGGGGTAGATATCATAAATTTGAGGTTTCTTAAAAATTCGATTGTGATCTCCCCGAACTGGGGAAAAGTGATTTGAGGGTTTCTCCTGAGGGAACGGATTTATTTCAAGTTAATTATTTCGTACCATTTCGCTATGTGATGCTCGAGACACTTTGGAATCCATATCGTAAACTTGTGGGTCCCTATAAATTTGATTATGGCCTTCTCGACCGGGGGAAAAGTGATTTGGAGGTCTCTGCCACGGAAACGAAAATCGTGAAAGTTATCTTCCCTGCTAACCCACTGCGAGATGTTTGGGACATTTTGGGATCCATATCACAAACTTGGAGTTCTTTATAAATTTGATTATGATCTCTCCGAACTAGGAAAAGGTGAATTGAAGATTTCTAGCTTGGAAGCGCAATTTTTGGGACATTTTGGGATCCATGTCATAAAGTTGGGGTTCTTTATAAATATCTCCCCGAAGGGATAAAAATAGATTTGAATATTTCTGCCACGTAAATCAAATTCTTAAAAGTTGATTATTCTGTGCCAACTCACTGCGAGATGTTTGGGACATTTTGGGATCCATATCGCAAATTTGTGGATCTTTATCAATTGGATTATGGGCCCCTCGAACTGAAAAAAGTGCAAGAAAAATTTGAAGATATTTGCCACGGAAACGAAACTCTTAAAAGTTGATTACTTATTGCAAAATCACTGCGAGATGTTTGGGATATTTTGGGATCCATATCGCAAACTTGTGGTTCCATATAAATTATGGGCTTCTCGACCTGGTAAAAAGTAATTTGAAGGTGTCTGCCACGGAAAGGAAATTCTTAAAAGTTTATTATTCTCTTCCAACTCACTGTGAGATGTTTGGGACATTTTGGGATCCATATCGCAAATTTGTGGATTTTTATCAATTGGATTATGGGCCCCTCGACCTGAGAAAAAGTGATTTGAAAGTCTCTGCCACGGAAACGAAATTTTTAAAAGTTGATTATTCGGTACCAACTCGCCGCGAGATGTTTGGGACATTTTGGGTCCAAATTGCAATATTATGGGTCTTTATAAATTCGATTATGAGCTCCCCGAACTAGGAAAAAGCGAATTGAAGATTTCTAACTTAGAAGCGCAATTTTAGAAAGCGACTATTTCGTGCCATTTCGCTATGAGATGCTTGGGACACTTTGGGATCCATATCACAAACTTGGGTTTCTTTAAAAATTCGATTGTGATCTCCCCAAACTGGGAAAAAGTGATTTGAAGAGACTCAGAAGCCGATTATTCCGTGCCAATTTGCGCCCAAATATTTGGGATCCATGATGCAGACTGATGTTTCTTAATAAATTGAATCATGAGCTCCCAGAACTTGGCTAAAAGTGATTTTACGAAAAGGCGCATTATTCCGTGCAAACGTCATGCGATGTGCTTGGACATTTTGGGATCCATGTTGCAGACGTGTGCTTCTTTATAAATGGAATCATGAGCTCCCAGGGCAGGGAAAAAATGAAGATTTCTGTCGCGAACGCGCAATTTTGAGAAGTCGATTATTTCGTCCCAATTTTCTGCGAGACGTTTGGGGCATTTTGGGATCCATATCGCAACCTTGGAGTTATTTATAAGTTGGATCATGAGCTGCTTTATCTGGAAAATTGAAGATTTCTGCGACGGAAGCGGAATTCTTTAAAGTAAATTATACCGTGCCATTTCGCTATATGATGCTTGGGGCACTTTGGGATCTACATCACAAAGTCAAAGCTTTTATATAGATCCCCGAACTAGGAAAAAGTGAGTTGCAGATTTCTAGCTTGGAAGCGCAATTTTTAGAAGACTATTTCGGGATGCTTGGGACATTTTGGGATCCATGTCACAAAGTTCGGGTTCTTTATAAATTCCCCGAAGTGGTAAAAATTGGTTTGAAGGCTCTTGAAGATTCTGAAGTTGATTATTGCATGCAAACCCCGTGCGACATGCTCGCGACATTTTGGGATCCATGTGAGAGACTTGCGCTTTTTCCTCGGCTTCTTCATAAATGGCATCATGAGTTCCCCGAGCTGGGAGAAAGTGGTTGAAACCACTTCCTGCCGCGAAAGCGTAATTCTTAGAAGCCGATTATACTGTGTCAATTTGTTTGGAAATGTTTGGGACATTTTGGGACCCAACCCGCAAATTTGTGTGTCTTTATAATTTGCATTAAAGACCTCTCGATTTGAATGGGTCTGCCACGGAAACGGAATCCTTAAAAGATGGTCATTCTGCGCCAACTCGTTGCGAGATATTTGGACCACTTTGGGATCCATAGTGTAAATCTTTATAAATGGGATTATGAGCTCCCAGAACTAGAAAAGAGTATCACGTCACGGAAACGAAAAAGTGAGAAGAATGTCTCTGCATCGAAAACGAAATTCTTAAAAGTTAGTTATGGCGTTCCAACACTGCGAGATGTTTGGGACATTTTGGGACCCATACTGCAAACTTGTGGTTAAATTGGATTATGAGCTCCCAGAAATGGGAAAAAATGAAGTGAAGGTCTGTGTCACGGAAACGAAATTCTTAAAAGCCGATTATTCCGTGCCAACTCACTGCGAGATGTTTGGGATATTTTGGGATCCATATGGCCAACTTGCGAGTCTTTATAAATTGACGTCGGAACTAAGAAAAACTAATTTGAAAATTTCGACCACGGATGCGGAATTCTTTAGAGTCAATGACTTCGTGCCATTTCTGTGTGTAATTTTTGGGATACTTTGGGATCCATTTCACAAACTTGGGAGTTCTTTATTAATTCGATTATGAGCGCCCTGATGTGGGAGAAAGTGACTTGAAGATTTCTGCCACGGAAGTTGAATTATTTACAGTTAATTATTTCGACCCATTTTGCTATTTGACGCTTGGGATACTTTGGGATCCATATCACAAACTTGGGAGTTCTTTATAAATTCGATTATGAGCGCCCCGGTGTGGGAGAAAGTGACTTGAAGATTTCTGCCACAGAAGTTGAATTCTTTACAGTTAATGATTTCGACCCATTTTGCTATTTGACGCTTGGGATACTTTGGGATCCAGTTGTGCTAATTTTTAAATGAGATTTTGACCTGCACGGGTTTGCCGATGGGAGATGTATTCCAAGAAGGTGTCGCTCGACCATTCGGCTGTGGCAAAAAATGTAACGATTGGCTAATGTTGCGCCACTTTTCGATTATTTGCGCTGTAGGTGTATTTCAATAGCACCGTATCCCGCCGATTTCCAAAATCGTCGATTGTAATTCGACTAAATTGAGCGGAAAATTGAGTGTATTTTTCCATTGAAAATATCCGCACACGCGCAAAATTTTGGCAACGGTCACTCGCGACGACATAAATTGCGATGCCTCGCACTTGTCTCGTCTTGTCTAGCGAAGACAGACGGACACCGTTAGTTTAATTGCGATTTTACGTCGCCAGTGGGTGTAATGACCGTGCGAATGAAAAAGAAAAAAAAACTATCCGACTCGAAGGACCGATTTGATTAATCAAGCGCGAAAATCGTGTCGCGTGACGGAAGATCGCCCGTCCTTGACGGGCGTCTTTTCGCGATGCAATTTGGATTGTTTCGTCGAATCGATATGGAAAATGGGGATGTGGACGGAATATCCTCTTTAAAGCTTGATTCTGCCCAGTTTTCGCCTTTTCCTTCCGTCTGCGCCAGCACATAACCTACATTTTTTGGGGTGTGTTCCTTCGCTTTATTGCCGCTTTTTTAATTTCGACAATGCATACGTGATTTTGTCGCGAAGGCTTGAATACATTTTTCAATTGAGGGGATGGTCACATGATGCTGTGCACCCGCAATAAAGGGCGCTTTTAGATGTGCGTGCCGGCGATGAGGAGGGTTTTGAGCGGCTTTGCTGGATCGCTTGTTTGCACTGTAAGTTTTATGTGTCGCTTTTGTCCCGACTAATTTGCATGCGGGTTAACGTCCTTAGAGGTTTCGATTCAAAATAGAAAATAATTGGCAGTGCTAGCGTTTCTATTAAACACGGAAACCATACCATACTCCACAGGTACCAAATTATGCGGGGTGCTCGCAACCTAACCTTACATTTGCATGTACAGGGGATATGCGCCGTTCTACTGAAAATATTGATCAGCGTGACGAGTAATCGAGCCACCTGTTGACTTTTTAACTTGACAACGTGACCAATATTGTATAAATGACCTGTTTCCCATAACTGCGCAAAAAAAGCGCCTAATTGTAGCTCAAGACAATAGTTCTGTGCTAATTGCTTTGTTTTTTATGTCAATTTTTTGCTAAACCATATCAGCGCAAAAAAGCAGTTTCACTTAAGGCGCATAATTGTCTCACGGCACAAGTGCTAGACTTCGGTGCAAACCTGATCCCTATAACGGCTCAAGAAGCAGTTTTACTGGTAGCGCATAATGCACCCTAAGACTTCTATGTTAATTTTTTGTAAAACCTGATCCTAATGGAAGCGTACAATAGTCGCACAAGACAGAATTTGTGAAATCTGATCTCTACAACGGCGCAAAACATTTTTTACTGGAAGCGCATAATAGTAGCACACGACAATAGTTTGGTGCTAAGCCGAGTGCTAAGCAGTTCGTCTTAGTTGCGAATCTTTTGTCAAACATAATCCTTATAACGGCGCAAAATGAGGTTTTACTAGAAGCGCATAATGGGCGCACATCAAACCTGATCCCAATAACGGTAACAAAACCACTTTCATTGGGCAAGAGTTTGAGTTCATTTTTAATGTAAATTTTTGGTCAAACCTGAGCCGTATAACGGCGCAAAATCAAGTTTTACTAGAAGCGCATAATAGTCTTGCGCAAAAAATAATGTCAACGGCGCCTAATTGCTACTGAAGTGGAAATATGCGCACAAGTTCACACACGGGAAGTTTTTTGCGCCTTGGAATTTTTTTGTTCCTTCGTGTTGGAGGCGCACAAGATCTTTGGCTCCGCAGCGCATAATTGGCGCACAAGGAAAGAGAATGGCGACGAATTCGTTGTTTTGTCTTACGCAAAAAAAGTGTCAACGGCGCCTAAATGCTACTGAAGTGGAAATATGCGCACAAGTTCACGCACGGGAAGTTTCTTGCGCCTTGGAAATTTTGTTGTCCCTTCGGGTTGGAGGCGCACAAGATGTGTGGCTCCGCAGCGCATAATTGGCGCACAAGGAAAGAGAATGGCGACGAGTTCGTTGTTTTGTCAACGGCGCCTAATTGCTACCGAAGTTTAAATATGCGCACAAGTTTACGCACGGGAAGTTTCTTGCGCCTTGGAAATTTTGTTGTCCCTTCGGGTTGGAGGCGCACAAGATCTTTGGCTCCGCAGCGCATAATTGGCGCACAAGGAAAGAGAATGGCGACGAATTCGTTGTTTTGTCTTACGCAAAAAATAATGTCAACGGCGCCTAATTGCTACTGAAGTGGAAATATGCGCACAAGTTCACGCACGTGAAGTTTCTTGCGCCTTGGAAATTTTTTTGTCCCTTCGGGTTAGAGGCGCACAAGATCTTTGACGCCGCAGCGCATAATTGGCGCACAAGGAAAGAGAATGGCGACGAATTCGTTGTTTTGTCTTACGCAAAAAAAAGTGTCAACGGCGCCTAAATGCTACCGAAGTAGAAATATGCGCACAAGTTTACACACGTGAAGTTTCTTGCGCCTTGGAAATTTTTTTGTCCCTTCGGGTTAGAGGCGCACAAGATTTTTGGCTCCGCAGCGCATAATTGGCGCACAAGGAAACAGAATGGCGACGAGTTCGCTGTTTTGTCTTACGCAAAAAATGTCAACGGCGCCTAAATGCTATTGAAGTAGAAATATGCGCACAAGTTCACGCACGGGAAGTTTCTTGCGCCTTGGAAATTTTTTTGTCCCTTCGGCTTGGAGGCGCACAAGATTTTTGGCTCCGCAGCGCATAATTGGCGCACAAGGAAACAGAATGGCGACGAGTTCGGCGACGAATTCGTTGTTTTGTCTTACGCAAAAAAAAGTGTCAACGGCGCCTAAATGCTACTGAAGTGGAAATATGCGCACAAGTTCACGCACGGGAAGTTTCTTGCGCCTTGGAAATTTTGTTGTTCCTTCGGGTTGGAGGCGCACAAGATGTGTGGCTCCGCAGCGCATAATTGGCGCACAAGGAAACAGAATGGCGACGAGTTCGCTGTTTTGTCTTACGCAAAAAATGTCAACGGCGCCTAAATGCTATTGAAGTAGAAATATGCGCACAAGTTCACGCACGGGAAGTTTCTTGCGCCTTGGAAATTTTTTTGTCCCTTCGGCTTGGAGGCGCACAAGATTTTTGGCTCCGCAGCGCATAATTGGCGCACAAGGAAACAGAATGGCGACGAGTTCGCTGTTTTGTCTTACGCAAAAAATGTCAACGGCGCCTAAATGCTATTGAAGTAGAAATATGCGCACAAGTTCACGCACGGGAAGTTTCTTGCGCCTTGGAAATTTTTTTGTCCCTTCGGCTTGGAGGCGCACAAGATTTTTGGCTCCGCAGCGCAGTTCGTTGTTTTGTCTTACGCAAAAAATAATGTCAAAGGCGCCTAATTGCTACTGAAGTGGAAATATGCGCGCAAGTTCACGCACGGGAAGTTTCTTGCGCCTGGGAAATTTTTTAGTCGCTGCGAGTTGGAGGCGCACAAGATGTTTGGCTTCGCAGCGCATAATTGGCGCACAAGGAAAGAGAATGGCGACGAGTTCGTTGTTTTGTCTTACGCAAAAAATAATGTCAAAGGCGCCTAATTGCTACTGAAGTGGAAATATGCGCGCAAGTTCACGCACGGGAAGTTTCTTGCGCCTGGGAAATTTTTTAGTCGCTGCGAGTTGGAGGCGCACAAGATGTTTGGCTTCGCAGCGCATAATTGGCGCACAAGGAAAGAGAATGGCGAAGAGTTCGTTGTTTTGTCTTACGCAAAAAATAATGGCAACGGCGCCTAATTCCTACTGAAGCAGAAATATGCGCACAAGTTCACGCACGGGAAGTTTCTTGCGCCTTGGAAATTTTGTTGTTCCTTCGGCTTGGAAGCGCACAAGATGTTTGGCTTCGCAGCGCATAATTGGCGCACAAGGAAACAGAATGGCGACGAGTTCGTTGTTTTGTCTTACGCAAAAAATGTCAGCGGCGCCTAATTGCTACCGAAGCAGAAATATGCGCACAAGTTCACGCACGGGAAGTTTCTTGCGCCTTGGAAATTTTGTTGTTCCTTCGGCTTGGAAGCGCACAAGATGTTTGGCTTCGCAGCGCATAATTGGCGCACAAGGAAACAGAATGGCGACGAGTTCGTTGTTTTGTCTTACGCAAAAAATGTCAGCGGCGCCTAATTGCTACCGAAGCAGAAATATGCGCACAAGTTCACGCACGGGAAGTTTCTTGCGCCTTGGAAATTTTGTTGTCCCTTCGGCTTGGAGGCGCACAAGATGTTTGGCTCCGCTGCGCATAATTGGCGCACAAGGAAACAAAATGGCGACGAGTTCGTTGTTTTGTCTTACGCAAAAAATATTATCAACGGCGCTTAATTGTTACTGAAGTGGAAATATGCGCACAAGTTCATTCACGGGAAGTTTCTTGCGTCTTGGAAATTTTGTTGTCCCTTCGGGTTGGAGGCGCACAAGATGTTTGGCTCCGCAGCGCATAATTGGCGCACAAGGAAAGAGAATGGCGACGAGTTCGTTGTTTTGTCTTACGCAAAAAATAATGTCAAAGGCGCCTAATTGCTACTGAAGTGGAAATATGCGCACAAGTTCACGCACGGGAAGTTTCTTGCGTCTTGGAAATTTTGTTGTCCCTTCGGGTTGGAGGCGCACAAGATGTTTGGCTTCGCAGCGCATAATTGGCGCACAAGGAAAGAGAATGGCGAAGAGTTCGTTGTTTTGTCTTACGCAAAAAATAATGGCAACGGCGCCTAATTCCTACTGAAGTGGAAATATGCGCACAAGTTCACGCACGGGAAGTTTCTTGCGCCTTGGAAATTTGTTTGTCGCTGCTGGTTGGAGGCGCACAAGATGTTTGGCTCCGCAGCGCATAATCGGCGCATAAGGAAAGAGAATGGCGAAGAGTTCGTTGTTTTGTCTTATGCAAAAAATAATGGCAACGGCGCCTAATTGCTACCGAAGCAGAAATATGCGCACAAGTTCACGCACGGGAAGTTTCTTGCGCCTTGGAAATTTGTTTGTCGCTGCTGGTTGGAGGCGCACAAGATGTTTGGCTCCGCAGCGCATAATCGGCGCATAAGGAAAGAGAATGGCGAAGAGTTCGTTGTTTTGTCTTATGCAAAAAATAATGGCAACGGCGCCTAATTGCTACCGAAGCAGAAATATGCGCACAAGTTCACACACGGGAAGTTTCTTGCGCTTTGGAAATTTTTTTGTCCCTTCGGCTTGGAGGCGCACAAGATGTTTGGCTCCGCAGCGCATAATTGGCGCACAAGGAAAGAGAATGGCGACGAGTTCGTTGTTGTGTCTTACGCAAAAAATATTATCAACGGCGCTTAATTGTTACTGAAGTGGAAATATGCGCACAAGTTCATTCACGGGAAGTTTCTTGCGTCTTGGAAATTTTGTTGTCCCTTCGGGTTGGAGGCGCACAAGATGTTTGGCTCCGCAGCGCATAATTGGCGCACAAGGAAAGAGAATGGCGACGAGTTCGTTGTTTTGTCTTACGCAAAAAATAATGTCAACGGCGCCTAATTGCTACTGAAGTGGAAATATGCGCGCAAGTTCACGCACGGGAAGTTTCTTGCGCCTTGGAAATTTTTTAGTCGCTGCGAGTTGGAGGCGCACAAGATGTTTGGACACGCAGCGCATAATTGGCGCACAAGGAAAGAGAATGGCGACGAGTTCGTTGTTTTGTCTTACGCAAAAAATAATGGCAACGGCGCCTAATTGCTACCGAAGTAGAAATATGCGCACAAGTTCACGCACGGGAAGTTTCTTGCGCCTTGGAAATTTTTTAGTCGCTGCGAGTTGGAGGCGCACACGATGTTTGACTCCGCAGCGCATAATTGGCGCACAAGGAAAGAGAATGGCGACGAGTTCGTTGTTTTGTCTTACGCAAAAAATAATGTCAACGGCGCCTAATTGCTACCGAAGTGGAAATATGCGCACCAGATCACGCACAGGAAGTTTCTTGCGCCTTGGAAATTTGTTTGTCGCTGCGGGTTGGAGGCGCACAAGATGTTTTGCTCCGCAGCGCATAATTGGCGCACAAGGAAAGAGAATTGCGATGTGTGTTTGATCAAATGTTACAGCTGATTATTGCGCAAAAGAATTTCAATGGCGCAATAATTGATACCAAAATAAAAACATGCGCACTGGAAGTGAAAATTTTTTTGTGGCTGCGGGTTGGAGGCGCAAAAGAGGTTCGGCGCCGCAGCGCATAATTGGCGCTCAAGGAAAGAGGATGACTATGAGTTTGTTGTCGATGTGAGTGTTTGAACCAAATTTTATCACCGATTATTGCGCTAAGAATAATCTCAATAGCGCCTAATTCCTACGGAAGGAGAAATGTGCGCACAATTTTGAGCGTGAGGAGCACGCGATTTCTAGTTCAGTGGCGCATAATTGGCGCACAAGAAAAAAGTTTGAGAATCAAGACTCCGCCGTCAATAGGAACATTTGGCGAAAGTTGATCACCGATTTTGGAACGAAAAAATAATCTCAACTGCGTAATTGCTACCTAAGGAATAATTTGCGCATAAGTTCACGCACGGAGGGTGTCCTGCGCTTTTACGCTCGATGTTTAGGTCAGCGGCGCACCACACAAAAGTTGGGGCATCAAGGCTGTCAATGTGAATGTGCGGCCACAATTGATCCCCCATTAGGGCGCAAAAAAATGTCAACTACGCTTAATTACTACGACACGAGAAATTTGCGCACAAGTTCATGCATCGTTGGATTTCGTTGTGTCTCTTGAGACAGGAGGTGGAGAAGATCTTTGGTTCAGCGGCGCATAATAAGCGCACAATACAAAAAATAGGAATTTATGTTAATCTACGTACGTATAATGAGTGGAATTTCGATCAGCACGCGGGCATGGCAAGTCTCAAATTGCGCATGCGTAGGGTAAATTTTAAGGGTTTCGATTTATCAAGTGTTTCTGATTAAAATGCACCAAACGTTCAGCTGTGCGCATGTTGCTATTTTCTAAAAATATTGACAGTAATTCTTCACTGAACTGCGGATGAAAGTAATTAGAATGCGCATGACAGTAAATACGATCGCGCATGCGCAGAGCACTTTCTTTTGTTTCCGCCTTCTAGAAATATTTTCCACAAAAATTGAACAAATAGATTAATCATGCCATCTAATGGACTGCGCATGACAGTATAAACACGATCGCGCATGCGCATAGGAGTTTTATTTATTTCTGAAACTATTTTCTAGAAATATTGACAGTAGATCTCAACAAAAATGTAGCAATAGAATGATCATGTCATCGGCGAATATAAGTAATTCGAATGCGCATGACAGTAAAGAGGATCGCGCATGCGCAGAGTTTTTTTTTTGTTTCTCAGCATATTTTCTACAAATGTTGTCAGCAAGCCTTATAGAACGTTCATTAGAATATGAACCGAACGTGCATCGGAAAAACTCGCACATGCGTAGAGAAAAGTTGAGTTGCGCATGCGCAGAGCTACTTTGTCGATACTGTTACACATTCCAAACATGTGGGTGCTCCAAAAACGGCAATACGCGCATAACAGTATTGAAATTCTCCATAAGAAAAGTCGATTGGCGCATGCGCAGTACAACTTTTTTATGCTTCTGCGACCATTAGAGGTCTAAAAGTTGAGATTTGTTAAAGAAAAGAAACTTATGGCGAAGATATCGAATTTAATGCTCAACAATGGGGCGACATACTGAAAGTACGTCTCTTAATAAAAGATTCTTTGTCATTACCATCTCTGCAGGCATACCAGATGTCTATAATAATTTCATTTTTTTTCCTTCTTAATTATCATCGTCTTGCTAAGAATCTGGTGGCATTAATCTCGAAGTGCCAGTGGACTTTCTAAGTGGCTAATTGAAAGTAAGTGAAATTATCGCGCTCAGTTTTTCGTTCGCGATCCCAGAGAGCCGTGCAATTAGCGCAAAATTATGACGAATATTAATAATAATTGCATTTGCATTGCGATTTGGTTTGCGTCTCGGAACTGGTTATGAAACATCTGCCGTTCGACGCGTGATTTTTTGTGATCGTCGTCGCTTGAATTGTATTTACATCACGTGTTAGTTTCATAATAAACATGTGCGTGATGTGTCCGCTGGAGGGGTTCTAACGTTTTTCGATTTTTTTGCAGGCACTATGCACTGAGGTGTACGACATGCAGATTTCGGAGGCTGCGGGCGGCGTCCCGGTGACAGGAGTCGAGCCGTGTCGATTTCCGAAGCTGGAGGAGTGCGCGCACTTTCACTATGAAAGGGTGCAATTGTCCCAGGTCGCCGTCACCCTACAGACGAATATGGACCAATCGTTGCACTCGCAGCACAGTAAGTTCGTAAGGGGTGGTGCAACTTGCGTTATTGACATCCGTTTTTTTAGCGAACGACGACGAGGGCGTCGATTGGCACATGGTGCAGGTGACCTCGGCGGACGAGTGCTGGCTGGTGCAGAGGAGTTACGAAAATTTCAAAATGCTCGACGCCCAACTTCACCAATGCATTTACGATAGGAAGTTTTCGCAACTGCCCGACCTTTCTAGTCATCCCTCGTACGGCGAGGACGTCGAGGTATAGACTTTCGGCGCGGTTCCCCCACGTTGTCATCTCTCGCATTTCAGACCCTCCTCACGGAGTACCTGGTGCGATTTTCGGAGATCGCCGACAACTCGATTAATTGCGGACCGGTGCTGAACTGGTTCCAAATGGACAATAAGGGCAATCGGCTGTTGGTGCCCAGCGAGGAGAGCCGTTCGATAAACACGCCGGCCGTCGCCGCCGCCTATAGCGTTCGTAGATATGTTTCACAGGTAGTTATTGGCCGGTTTACTTTTTCCTAGAAAGCGATGGAGGTTGAGCCTCCCATCGGCGCTTGCGCATAATCGAAAATTATGCGCCCTAATACAGCAGGTCACTTATGCGCCAGAATTTTGCACCAATAGATGTGCCTTGATAGTCGGCTGGCGCATAGTCAGTGAAATTATTACTTTTTTTTACCAGAAGTTGTTACGCAATTTATCCATAGAAGAAAATAGCGGCGCATAATCGGTTTTTTGTCGCCATAGAATGAAAGTTTTTTGCCAGAAAGCGCTGCAACATTATGCTCAAGATTTATTCGTTGCTGGAATCAAATTTTGCGCTTAAACCCCAAAACCTTCTCACGGCGCATAATCCGTTTTGGAGTGGAATCATGAATTTTGACCAGAATGTCACAGCGGCGGGTAATTGGCGCATTATGCTTTGATGGTATACACATTTGCGCTTGAATTGCAAAACGTTCTAACGGCGCATAATCGTGTTTGGAATCCAATTATAAATTTTTGCCGGAATGTATTTACAACCGCACGTTATTGGCGCATCGTTTATGAGTTGATGGAATAAAAATTTGCGCTGAAATCGCGTAACATTTTTACGGCGCAAAATGAATTTTGTGTAGACTGAGGGAAGCTGACATAATTATAATCTTTTTGCCAGAATGCATTTACAGTGGCGCAACAATTATGCGTTTATGAAATACAAATGTGCGCTTAAATTGGAGCATAATCGGCTGTGTCGCCGCCACCATTAGCCCAGATTTGTTCCATTGGTTAGTTTTAGCGGCGCTTGCGCATAATCGTGAATTTTGCGCCCCATATCACTTATGCGCAAGAATTTTGAGCCTTGATAGCGTTGCGCGATATTCGACTGGACTGGCGCATAATCACTGAAATTATTACTTTTTTCCCAGAAGTTACTAAGTGCGCAATTTATCGATAAAACAAAGTAGCTGCGCATAATCGGTTTTGTAATTTGTGTCGCCTTAGACATGCTAATGGAAGTATTTTTTTGGGATGCATAACTTATGCCCAAGAATCATTTGTTGATCGAATTTTGCACTTAAACCGCCAAACATTCTAACAGCGCATAATCGATGTTGGAATGGAATTACAAATTTTCACCAAAATGTAACGGAGTTGATGGAATAAAATCTTGAGCTTAAATCGTAAAGCATTCTAACGGCGCATAATTGATTTTGCAGGCCGATGGAATTATAACTTTTTTGGCGCAATGTAGTTACAGCGACGCATCATTTATGCGTCGGCGAATTAAAAATGTGCGTTTAAATCGTAAAGCATCGAACAGCGCATAATTGGTTTTGTGCAGACACATGGGATTATGACTTTTGCCCTTGTAGTTATAGCGGGGCATCATTATGCGCTTAAATGGCGCACTATCGATTTTGTGCCAACTGAGGGAGGCCGATGGAATTATAACTTTTTTGGCGCAATGTAGTTACAGCAAAGCATCATTTATGCGCAAAAATTAGGCGTTGATGGAACAAAAACATTTGCGCTTAAATCGCAAAACATGCCAACGGCGTGTAACCGGTTTTGTGCCCAATGGAATTTTTTACCAAAAAGTAATTTCAGAAGAGCGTAACAAAAATTATGCGTTGGTCCAATAACATTTTTCTCTTATATTTGCACAGCATTCTAACGGCGCATAATCAGTTTTGGTCCACTTAGGCAGACCGCTGGAATTATAACATTTCTTTGTCAGAATGTATATAACGGTGCGTAATTGGCGCGTCACACAGGAATTGTGCGTTAATGGAATAAAATTTTGCGCCTAAATCGCAAATGGCGCATAATAGGTTTTATATGTCGACATAGGCAGGCTAATGGAATTATGAATTTTTTACTAGAATGTAGTGACGCATCATTTAGGCGTAAGAATTATCCGTTGGCGAATATGGCGCTTAATTCGCAAAACATCTATCGGCGCATAATTGATTTTGTGTTGACTTATACAAACAGATGGAATTATAACTTTTGCCGTTGTAGTTATAGCGGCGCAACATTACTCGTTGATGGAATAAAAATTTACGCCTAAAAATTATGCGCTGATGGAATACAAATTTGATCGCAAAATGTTCCAATGGCGCATAATCGATGTTGTGTGAAGGTAACTTATGGAATTATACATTTTTTGCCAGAATGTTGTTACAGCGGTTCCCATTTATGCGCATTGATGGAATACAAATTTGCGCTTCATCCAACGCCGGATAATCGATTTTGGAATGGAATTTATAAATGTAAAATATGGTACAGCGGCGTGTAATTGGCGCATCACTGATGCCCAAAGATGAAATAAAATTTTGCGCTTAAATAGCAAACCATTGTAGTAGCGCATAATCGGTTTTGTGTTCACTTAGGCAGATCGATGGAATTATAACCTTTTTTGCCAGAATATGCTTAGTTACATTGGCGCATCACTGTCCAAAGTCGGAATAAAATTTTGCGCCTAAATAGCAAAACATTTTAATGGCGCATAATCGGTTTTTTGTCCACTTAGGCAAACCCATGGATTTATAACTTGTCACCATGTCTAAAGATATGATCCATGTCACTGATGCCTAAAGATGGAATAACATTTTGGGCTTAAATAGCAAAACATTTTAACGGCGCATAATCGGTTTTTTAACGGAGGTTTTTTGCGGAACGTAATTGGCGCATCACTTATGCACAAAAATGTTGTGTCTGTTCTGTTTTACTGCATATTTGGTACCACAGTTTTATGCGCAGGAATTATGCGTCACAATATGATGACAAATAATTTTTTTATGTGCCTATAGAATGAAAACTTTTTTGCATGAAATTTGGTGCTCTCTTCGAATGCAAGTGTTTCGCTCACTTTATTTATTACATCAGATTCGGTCATAGTGTGCGCTGTTAGAATAAAGTTGTTCGCCCCAATGGGATTGTGTTGTGCGCTTGATGCGATATCAACGAAGCTAAGTTCTTCCGATTAAAACCTTGCAATTCCTTAATATAACATAAATAGTTAAAAATTACCGCAATATGCGCCTGTTTCTTGCGCCGGAAATCAATTGTGTATCATGCGCGGTTTGACAAAAAAACTTGCGCCGTCACTTGAACAGTTAGAGCAGCAGTTTCATGGACATTTGTTTCTTAGGCAATTTGCGTGAAATTTTGCGCTTCAATGGCAATTATGCGCTTCAATGGCAATTATGCGCTCTTTTGCGCCAAACGTTAATGACGCACGCATGAACAAAACAATTTACGCCGTGAATTGGACAGCTAAGGCTGCTACTTCTTCTTATGCGCACATCAAAAAAATAAAAGTTATGCGCCTATTTTGCTCCGTTACAATAACATTTTGCACTAGACGATAGTGTCATATGATGTTTTTGCTACTGCGACTCGAAATATGTAAGAGGCGCACATTTAGTATCTAACGATGAAGCGCAAAAATGTTTTCTGTCGGCGCATAATTGGCGTGCGATGGTTTGTGTATTCGTTTGCTGTTCCAAATGGCGTAACTGCGTAATGCGATGTTTTTAAGTTGTACAGGGTCCTGGAAAATTTGGTGACAAGATATTTTTTATATGTAGAGGGTGGCCAAATAAGAATGCGAGGTACTGTATCTGGGAACCTGCCCATCGTAGAGACTTGAGGTAAAAAAATTTACTACTAAAACGGCCACGAGAAAAACCTGGAAAATATTTTTAAGTTCCTGCAATGGCCGCTAGGGGGCGTAACTGCAATCTGGAATCTAAAGAAGTGATTTTTCTGTGAATTCCGCTATATTAACCTAACAAAAAAATGTCCGGTCTTTGAAGTTGACGATAATCTGAACCTTTTTTGTTTGACAATTTTTCCCGTATCTCTAAAAATGAAGTGGTGGGGGGTATTCAAAGGTTTCCGTAAAGAACACCCTGTATCTTAGAAACGACTGAGCCGATTTTAACAAACTCAGGTTAATTGAAAAGATTTATTCTTCGGCTACAAATATTATAATATTTGAAGTTTTGTTAGTTTCGCATATCGCCGCTTGAGGGCTTTTTTCGACATTCCGACAGAAATGGTTAATTTTCTCAAAAAAATTAAATGCGTTGGTTTGATTTTTTTTCCATGAAAAAGTAGCTAAATGATGCCTAAACAAGCTCGCGAAAACCGCGAGTTTGTTTAAATCGGCTCATTCGTTTCGAAGATACAGGGTGTTATTTACGGAAACCTTTGAATACCCCCCACCACTTCATTTTTAGAGATACTGGAAAAATTGTCAAACAAAAAAGGTTCAGATTAGACTTCAAATACCGGAAATTTTTTTGTTAGGTTATTATAGCGGAATTCACAGAAAAATCACTTTTTTAGATCCAGATTGCAGTTACGCCCCCTAGCGGAAATTCCAGAAACTTGAAAATATTTTCCAGGTTTTTCTCGTGGCCGTTTTAGTAATAAAATTTTTTACCGCAAGCCTCTACGATGGACAGGTTACCAGATACAGTACCTCGCATTCTTATTTGGCCACCCTGTACATGTAATAGTAAAAATACCAAATTGTGTTTTTGATTGTTTAGTAAATAGATCAAAGTTACCATTGAAACTTGGCACTTGCTATCGCGCGACAACCTTGGCATTCCGTACGATAATGTAAATACAGGCGGAAGTTGACACCAGGAATTTATGTAGGCGCTTATTAATCAACGCTCCGATTTGTTAATTGGTAGTAATTAAGCTCCCTTTTTTGGTGACAGGCCCGAGATGAGCTGAGCCTGGAGGTCGGCGATATGATCTCGGTAATCGACATGGCCAGTCCGGCCGAATCGATCTGGTGGAAGGGCAAGCGGGGATTTCAGGTCGGATTCTTCCCCCAACACTGCGTGCACATAATCGGCGATAAGGTGCCGCGAAACATGCCGCTTCCGCCGCCCGTCGTCGGGTAAATATCTCGTCGAGACGCGCCCTTATCACTCTCCCGCCGATTACAGGTCGCTGGCGATCACCCCCGTGAAGCCCGTACTGAGAAAGCACGGCAAGCTGATCGCGTTTTTTCGTAGCTTTATTTTGAATAGGCCGTCTAGACGTCGCCTGAAACAGTCCGGGATTCTCAAGGAGCGGGTTTTTGGCTGCGATTTGGGCGAGCACTTGCTTAATTCGGGACATACGATTCCTACAGTGTTGAAGTGCTGTACGGAGTTCATTGAGAAGCACGGAATTGTGGATGGTATCTATAGGTAGGTGTAGACCAATTTAAAAAAAATTTCAAAAATTCAAAAATCCGTAGATTGTCGGGCGTTACGTCAAACATACAGAAGTTGCGGAATGCCTTTGACGAAGACCGTATCCCCGACCTGTATACAGAAGATATTTTGCAAGATATTCATTCTGTCGCATCGTTATTGAAAATGTATTTTCGGTGCGTATGTCGCGATACGGTGGCGGTTTTTTGAATTCCCTTTTTGCAGCGAACTGCCGAATCCACTTTGCACCTACCAACTTTATCAAAGTTTCGTGTCTGCAGTTCAGGGTTGCAACAGCATAAACCGCAATTCGTTTACCGATCACGATCGGTTGCTAAAGATGCGCGAGGCCGTTCAGAAACTACCGCCCCCTCACTATCGGTAAGCGAATTTTTCCTCGACCAATATTCAAGGGGTCTTTTAGAACGCTGGAGTATCTGATGAAGCATCTGTCTCGAGTCGCCCAGCACGGATCCAGCACTGGCATGACGACCCGTAACATCGCGATCGTTTGGGCGCCCAACCTCCTCCGCTGCGCAGAGTTGGAGATTGGCGGCGTCGCCGCGCTGCAAGGGGTCGGGGTTCAGGCCGTGGTGACCGAGTTTCTCATTTGCTACGCCGATCTGATATTTTGCGACCATCTGCCCAACCTGAACAGCACCTGCCTCGACATGGAGGACTCCCCGAAGAGAAGCCGACCGAAGAGCTTGGCGATTTCGACGCCTACGAAGCTGATAACGCTCGAGGAGGCGCGCACGAAGCACCTGCTCAACAAGGCGGACGATAACGGATACATCGAAGTCGGCGGCGGGCCTAACAATTTGCCGAAAAAGTACCACACCATCATCGAACTGCCCTCGGGCCATCGAAAGCGCGGCCTACCCAAGCGGTCGCCGTCCGGTTGGCGGTCGTTCTTCTCGAAATCGCGCGGCAACTCGCGCTCGCAGGGAAGCCTGACGAAGGGCCGAAAGGCGTCGACGCCGGGCAACGTCGTTGTGGTAAGTTCGCGGTTTCCCGCTGTTGTATAGCTTGCGTCTTCAGGAGAAGTCGGTGACAGAAACGGATCTGACGGAGATGAAGCGAAAATTGCGACCAGTTAAGTCGGCCGAAAGTCTAACTTCCGGTCACTCCGAGCCGGCTAGCACGGAGGACGTTTTGGGACCGTTGCACTGTCTTAACAAGCCTCCAGGTCACAACAGGTAAACCGTTTTGTCACATCGACGCCCTTTTACTTGAATTCTTTAGATCCGTGTCACACGACTCTTACTTTGACACTTTGCAAAGCTCGCAGCACAACTCGGAGGGTTCCCTTTACGATCTGAGCGAGATACAGATCAATTTCGAGTTGGAGGAGTCGGAAATGCGGATCTTCTCCGAGGATGAAAGTCTCGTCAGTTCGCCTCGTCTCCAAAAAGATATTGTGAGTAGCTTCTCTTGCGTCTGTGGTATGCCAAAAGCTAGTAATTTTTGTGATCAATCAATACACTTTGCAAGAGTCTCTGTAGGCGATTTTCTAACTCCGATTATCAAGAATGCAGGTGACAAAAGGTAGCGGATATGCATCTGTTCCTGGAACGGGCACTTTTCTAATACGTAGTAGAAGTGTTTTACAAAGTGCCAACTGTAAATATGTTTTAGCTGGTTAAGGGCTTAAAAAAAGGATTTTGGGTATCTGCAAAGTTTATCCTGTACTTCTGTGACAAAAGGAAATGAATATGCGTCCTTTCAGAACATTTCTTTTGCAGTTGTGGGTAACCAAATCCTGGATTCCTGAAGTGTTGACAGCCATTAAAATACTTGAGGTGCTTGCTTGAAGTATATCGAACTTGACTAATGCTTGTCTAACATACCATTGACAAATGGAGAAGGATAGGCGTCATTTTTAATGGTCAGTTCCGGACAATATTCTTATTCTTTTAGAAATAAAGAGTGTAACCAACCACAATATTTTTTTCTACAAACTTATATTTGCAAAAAGGATACAAGACTGAAGCTTAATTTTTATTGACAGTTTTTTTTTACATTAACTCGATAATTTACAATTCTGACTTGTTTTTCTTGTAAAAAATTCCACGAGTCCTCTTTTATAGCACAAGCCTGTGCTCAATTCTGGAAAACTATCCAGGAATTTTTAAAAAATTCCCACAAGCAGCATTTTTTGAATTTTCAGAAATCCGTTCGTCTGTGCCGTAAGTACTACCACAGATCCACACGTTAATAATAATAATAATAATAATTTATTACCCAACAGCTAATGCCAATTACAGAGTAATGTTACATAAGATATATTTTCTAGGTTAAATAGTATAGTTACATTATTTATATTATACATTACACATTATGCATTTTTTGGGAAACAAATTTAGGTATACTTAAAAGCGCCCTCTATTGCGGAGCAGTACAAACATGTACCGTTTAAAACTGTAATATGACGCTTATGGATTGATCCATTAGATGTCGCTGCAAAAAATGTAAAGCGGTAGAGTGTGCATAATTCGAATTCGTTATTCGTTATTTTTGGCATTTGATGTTTGTAATCGGTGAATTTATTTTGTGATTTGTTTACAGACGAATTCAAGAGATCATATATGTATACCTACATACGTATTCCAAATCTTATTGGCGTGGTAAAGAGTGTAACGTTAATTATGGCAGAGATATACATAGTTTTTAAGTATACCTTTGCGATTAGCAATCTGTCAAGACCTTTAAAGTTGCAAATAATTTCCGCCAACTTAAAAAAACCTTCACGATTCTTTAAGAACCTGCCCTATGTTCATGTGTATCTGTGACCACAGGTACCCGCTTTTAATATCTCCGTTATGACGAATGAGTAGCTCCAGTGTTAAATTAAACAATTATGGCTCAGCGTACCTCCTATCGTATTATGTCACTGTAATAATACTATGATGTACCCAGGCCAGTCCCGAGAGACTGCGCAACTCAAGATTTAAAATTCAAAACTTTCCCTCCCAAACTAAGTGAACCCCATGGCACGTGATCGTCTAGATAAAGCTACCTAACCTGAATAACTGAATAACAGGACCACTTACTACGTTGTGTTTTTAAGAGTCGCTACAAGATATGTGTTGCTTGTCGGAGTGAGGATCAAGTAAGGAATACAAATAAAACAAGTACATGCTTTAAAAACGGAGATTTAATCCAAATAATTCTCATTGCAAGATTAAATTTAGAAAATGGTAGTTCACCGAGTACAAATATAAAAATAGGCTGGGAAAAAAAGAACTGACCAAGAAAAAACCCAGCCAACAAATTAATATTGAATTTTATAGTAAAATTAGTTATCTGTAATGGCATGAATGCATATTATGATGGTTGTCAAGTAAATCAATACGATGTTGAATCACAGGCTCCGCTGGAATGCCTAAAGAATCAATATTTCACACACATAACATAAAAACAATCATTAAAACAGTACAATAAATTCACATAATAAGTTTGGATATTGGGTGATCGGTCCAAATCCCACACCGAGTAGTCTTTAGTTGCTCTGGTCATGACATGTCAACATTGTATGAAATCGCCAGGAGTTGGCCTCTCATAAGAGCATTTCACACAGGAAGGATACCCCAATGGATACAAAAAAAAAACAAAGGGCACAACGGGAACACGCCGTACGCTTTTAGCAGATCCCTGCGCAAGTGAGGCCGAGACTTGCCTGCCCCCTCATGTACGACTAAGCGGGACCCCAACTCTTTCATTCACACATCTCTAGGGCCAGTCCAACCCACTAGTCTTAAAATGAGTACTGACAATAACCGATCAAAAGACAAAGCATGACATAACATAAATAACAGAGCAGCCATCGGCAAACTCGCACGCATACATAATTATAAACAAAATATACACAATTTATGTAGGCGTTGACAGTTGACATATTGGCACTGGCATAACAAAAACTGACACAAAACCAATATTCGGTCCCTACATGTCAGGGATCGACTAATCGGATTGATTAGCAATATCGGCAAGAAGGCTCTTTTCAAAGACACAACAAAAAAAACAGTACATAAAAGATATCTATCTCTGCGTATGTCAGTTCTGAACTTTAGCCAGCCTCTGCTACGTCAAATCGAGATATAATACCGGTATCAAATATAGCACAGTAAATATTCCAAACAAGTCACCCCGCCAAATATTAATAATCATAATCACCCGGTTCAAATAAATAGTAGAAGCATAACTTTTAGTACTGTCACATTACAACAATACAAAGGAACATGTCGTGGCAAACATTGGTATCAAGTAATTAATTCACAATGCCAAGTGCAATATGTAACAATCAACCACCTAACGTACGTCACTCGCCCCCAGATGAGGCACCCTGTAAATAAACAGTAACATATTCATGCAAACAATAGCGAGATGCGCTGCAATAAATTCAATTATAAATTAAAATGTAGTTCTGCAAACTTGTATAGAATATAGCCCCTAAGGGAACATACAGTATCTAAATATAAATAAAAACACGTAAATCGGTCAGTAATTCACAGTAGAACCAGTATAATTAAAAGTACAATTTGTATCTAGAATGTGTTATAAATGGCGATAATCATGCGTTACGAAAATAACATTAAATTGGCAAATAATCGAACACGATCATATCGTTATTAGAGGGATGCAATAGACGTAGAGATAAAAGAAAACGAGTACATCACCTTTGTAATTGTCGCAGCTGCACGCACTATTCGCAACGTAAAGATTTACCTCTGGTCTCAACAAAAGCACAAATACTTCTACCGCATTCTCCCCCCTTTTTTTTAAACAAATCCTAGACGAAAATTGAACGTGCTCCGAGACGAGTCGATACGGATCATTAAGTTTCCTCGCGTAGCTCGCATAGCGTAATATTTGACACTTTTATTGTAAATTATGGCCCATTTCAATGTAGAGCAGAGAAGAAAAAAAAACACGTGTTCCACGAAAACGAAACAAAGCGCAATCTTGACCTTTTTCGTCGCGCCAGGCTCGGATTCGGGAATATTTAAATCGAATTTGAGCGGGCTAATTCGGTTCCATCACAATACGAATATTAAGGAATTGGAATTGTGCAAACTTTAGCGCTTTAATTAAAGTCACTAAATATAGAAAGTACCGCAATCCATTGGGCTCGTGTGTTAGAGAGAGAACGCATGATTTTTGCCCAAAAATGGCGGAAGTTACCAGATTCTAGTAACTTTAATGTTAGGGATTGTTCCACCTGTTTGGAGATATCTGTACATATTTTTATAAAACATGACAGTACTATGAAGTTAGGTTATAACAAAATACAGCTATTCAGATTTTATTTGTCAATTTTTTTAAGTTGGCAGCAAATTTGCCCAAAAATGGCGGATGATTGCGGTACTTTCTATATCTAGTGACTTTAGCTTTAATTTTGTTTTAGCGACATCTAACGCATAAATCCATAAGCGTCATATTACAGTTTTAAACGGTACATGTTTGTACTGCTCCGCAATAGAGGGCGCTTTTAAGTATACCTAAATTTGTTTCCCAAAAAATGCATAAGGTTAGCAATCTGTGTATATGTAGATCTGTGGTACTACTCATCTTTGGCATACCACAAATATCTGTACTGTAATAGATGACCTTGATAATGCATTGTGTTATTCTAAATTTAGATTCATCGGCGAATATTAACGCGTGCGCGCCCCGAAGATTTCAACAGTACGAACAACTCGAATAATCCGTCACCCAAGAAGCAGGCGCGGGTGGTGGCGTCCCCCGATTCGTCATCGCGCAAGCGCACCCGTCTCGAAGATCAGCTCTCCGACATCCAGTACATCGACTGCAACACGCCCGATAACGTTTGCGTGATTTCGACGACGGCCGTCGTGCATCCTCAACCGGAAACGACGTTCGTCGAGTCCTACCAACCGAAGAACAAATCGCCGCGAAGCTCCGACGTCGACAGCAAGCGCCAGTCGCTCAACTTGGAAAAGCCGAGGAGTCCGAGCGCCATTCCGAAGTCGCTCACCGAGATCAACATCCATAAGAAGCTCGCGATCCCCTCGAATCAGTCGAGCTCGTTTACGTCGCCGCAATCGCCGAACTACAAGCAGCTGGAGGACTCGAGCACGAATACGACCCCCGATTACAGTCCGTCGGCCGACGTGTCCTACCATAACCTCAACCCCCACTCCAGCGATGAGAACGAGGTCCGGGCCTACGAGAACGTGCTTAGTCCTGTTAGTAAAAAGTCTAGTCCTACCTACGAGAACGTATTAACGACTATTAGTATTACCTATCGATCTCCGAGTAAAAGTCCGAAGTCTTCCACCACGATTATAAACACGCCCGTAGAGGACGACGCCGTCTACGAAGACGTGCACATCTTAAACCCCGAGCAGGCCGTCGTGCCGACGTCTACGGCCTCCTTGCCTCTTCAGCAGGCGAGCCAGCCCAGCTTCCAAGAGGTTATCCACAAAGACAACAGCTTGACGTCACTGCCGGGGAAGTTGACCGTGCCCGACAAGAAAATCGGCGATCAACGGCCTAAAAGTCTAAGCGCCCTCGAGGACATGAAGGAAAACGGCGACGGTTTCATTTCGAAGAACCCCAGCGCCGCGACGGCCGACCATCTCAGTTTGACCGACCTAACCTTAAGCGAAGTAGTTCACAATTCGACCGAAAGTCAATCTTCCATCAGCTTCCCGCTAAGTCCCAGCAAGAATTCGCTAAGCCCGAACGTTAGCCCGATGCTGTTCTGCGACGGCCAGAAGACGCTCTCGCAGGATATACTGACGTCGCTAAGTCCGAGCGTCGCGAGCCTCCTGGAGTCGAAGACGCGCAGCGACAGCAGCCTGGCGGAGAACAGCGAGGAGACGCACCTGGTTTCGCTGCGCAGCGACGTCAGGCAGGGCAATCCGGAGTACCTGAAGCTCACCGATAACAATATCAGCTCGAACGAGGAGGACGTCAGCCCCGTGAGGTGTCTCAAGCCGAACGATCTCTACATAACCTCAATTAATATCGAAGAAAACCCGCCTCTTTCGGAGAGTGACGCGCGCCCCGTTAGTGTCAACCTAATCGAGTTCAGCCCGTGTGATCCTCCGCCCGACTTAACCAAGTTGAGCAATGATAAGCGAAAGTCGAGCGAAACCGAGTCGCTCGACGACGAAAACAGTATTTATCAACAGGTCAAGTACTTCCGTAGGTCGATTCACGAAATTAACGCCCTTTTGGACCTGAACGCGAAGGGCGAAAGCACGACATGCGAAGAGGAGGTCTCGGAGACCGAAAATTACGACTCGCTAGAGATCGACAACGTGCACGTTTACGAGAACGTCGAGGTTAAAACCGAGGCGGAGGTAGCCGAGCCGGTGGACAAACCGAACGTGCGCAGCCTGACGAGTCGGTTCGAGGTAATGGACCAGAAGCCTCCGGTTTCGAGGCGAAACGATTACGATAACGTGTCATTTCGTGGGCAAAAACCGCCGATTGTTTTCGCGGCCGCGAAGCACGAGGAGGTCGCGTGCCCGAAGGCGGAGGTACCGAAACTTGTCGCGTACGATCGGGGCAGTTTGCCGCCGTGCCTGCGCGCGCGTTACGTCAAGAACGCGATTAAAACGCGCTCGCTTGACGAAGAGGCGTTCGCCAAAGAGTTCGCGCAACCGCTCGAGCGGCGGAAGTCGGTCGACGAAAATTTCGGCTCGAAACTCCCGACGCTGCCCAAAGTTTTAAATCAACCGAAACCGATACCCGTCGACGGCGAAAAACCCGACCTACACCTCGCCCACAGCGTCGACAACGTCGCCGCCGTTCCCGAGCAGAAGCTAAACCGCGAGCGCATTGAAAAGTACAAGGAGGAAAGGCGCAAGTTCCTGCACGACAAATACCGATCTGAATCCTTCAAGGAAGACAAAGACGTGCTGTTGTCCCGCTTGAAGCAGAAGACCGTGAAAGCCCGAACCGGCGAGGGCGAGACGAAGTGCTGCAGCGACCCCGGACCGCCCTCCGAACTGTCCAAGTTGGGCGCGAGGCGCAAATCGGAGAACGACGACACGGAGTGCTCAAAGGACAGCCTTGAATGCGATAGTAGCGTTAACAAGCGCAACTACGTCAACGCGAAGGAAAACCGCGAAAGTATTAAGTACAAAACCGCCCTCTTCGAGAACCAAGCTAAGGTTAAAGACGCGAAAGTGAACTCGATCAGGAAAGGGGCGCCGGAGGAGGACCGCGTGCTGGACACCGCCCTTTTGGGTAACGATTTTCTGCGAAATCGGCGAAGAGAGGACGATGCGGGCAAGAACGAGAGGCGGAGACATACCTACGAGTCGAGGGAGCGAGAGAAAGAGCTCGACGGCGATGGGATTCGAAGAATTAGTTTGGAGAATCGTAGTCCGAGGTAATTGCTTTTTTTACAATTTCCTTTATGCAAAATCCTTTGCGAATTTCGAATCTGATTCCGACTCTGATTATGATTTATACATTTTTTGTCATTGTGATTCCGACTACGGTTCAACCTGATTCTGATCCTTCAAACTCTGATGCTTTTAATCCGATTCCAAGTATGATTTTGATTCAGACCGTTTTCGGCTGTCCCTGGGTGCGAGTCTGATTGTGAGGCCAACGCGCGTTAAATAAACTCTGTCATTTACTTTCAAACAATTGGTAATGCATCGCGCTCGGTTAAATGTCAAAAATGGATACCGGGGGCAGATGACATTAACGCGCCTGAAAAGGATAGCGAGCGTTAAATAAACAGTTTTGAATTACACGGCGGCACTCTCTGTCCTTTACTTTCAAACAATTGGTATCGCATCGTGCTCGGTTAAATTTCAAAAATTGATATCGGAGGCAGATGACAATAACACGCCTGAAAAGGATAGCGAACACTAAATAAACGGTTTTGAGTTACACGGCGGCACTCTCTGCCCTTTACCTCCAAAAATTTGGTAACGCTTCTTGCTCTTAACTTTCACTTTGTAGAATTTCGTATGTTGACGTTGTGCCAATGGGAGTCAAATTAATCTTAAGTGAGAAAAGTGGCAACACTGCATGGATAAAGGGGCGGAGTTATTCCTTTGGATGATAGTCTCAGGCCAGTGATGAAGTGTGCATGTTGGATACTCGTTTAACTTTGAATGAAAGTTGCTTAGTTTCCAAACTCATAGTTTTTACCTCTTTACAGGAAGGAAACCAAGTCGCCGTCGTACTGCATCAAAGACATGAAAGCAATTTTCGAATCTAAGTCGCAACAATAATCTTGTGGTATTTAAAAACATTTAGCTAGCAATTTGTAAAATAGTTATCGACCAAAATTGCGTGCACTTTTTGGGACCAAACGCGCGCGCGAAAATTTGAATGTCGCTTCGTTACCATATCATTACTCGTTTTCTTTCTCGTTTGTCTGTAAAAGCGTCGACAGAAAGTGCACCCCAATTGTTTCTATTGTAAAGAAGAAATTATTTTTGTAGGCCTTAGAGTTCTTTTTGCAATTCTGAATAAGACGATGAGCGTCGTTTCAAAAAACGGCCACGTTTGCAATTGACTTTTAGCTTTTAAAGCCCAATCGTAGACTTAAGAATACTTTTAAGAGAGTGACAGCTTTATATTACAATTTTGACAGCTTCCTGGTGTTGATTCGGTGACTATTAGTTTATTGTAGCGTTCACTCTTATTTTTTCGTTAATTGGCTTTAAGACTGATGTGGTTTATGTATTTGTTTTAAAGGCGAACGCAAGAACTGCGCTAGTTAAGTTTAATTTTTTTTTTGTATTTGAGATGAATGTCCGAGTGGGTGAGTTGAGCACTAATCCAACAGGTTAGACAATAATGATTCTTTTAATTCTGTATTTTTGAAATTCGGAAGAACACCCACGAGATTTATCTTTCTTGAAAGCCGATTTCGTAGTGTGTCTTTCGAGGGTATTAATTGAGAATGTTTTGCTGTATTTTGTTATTTATTTTCTAGACAGTGTTGTACATATTTTATGCTTTAAGATAGCAACATGTTTCAGACTTTGTTAATAAATTATACTATATTTAGGAAACATTGTTAGTAGGGATCGCCGAAGCATTCGATTTCTACTTCCAAGTACATCTACAGTCCAGAACATCGAATGGGCATGACTCTGCTCCAGCATCAGGTACTATTAGGTAATTTAACATGAAAATTGCGCAGGTGCGAATGCAAGTAAGTACCCAAGGTAAAGTTAATCTACCACTCAGACAAACCCACATAATAATCAAAAGATAAGTTAATTAGAGGGTCCCCTTCTTGTATTGCTTACGCCAGGGACAAGATCTGTGGTCAGCACGAGATCAGGAGCAGATAAGGCGAAGAATGAGGTGCTTTCTCCACTATATAAACGGTTAGTAGAATCATACAGGGCAATACACAACAGATAATCTCCTCTCGCATGAATACATAAATAAATACTTTATAAAATAATATAAAGGTGCGAAAAGTTAAAGCCATTTAACGTGTAGAAGTGGCCGCCATTTTGTTTGACCGATTCACGAACTCGAATCGAATTGGTTCATAATTACAAAACTTAGAACTCTTGGAAGTGATATATAAATATACTGGTACCATTACAACGGGTAGAAGAATTCTACCTAAAATAATAATAAAAGGAACACGTATGCAAATTAGCACTCAACATTTAGCATTTCTTTGCTCCTAATACACGCGATTATTTTTAACAATTTTGTGGTAAGTACAGGGAGGACATCATGTTTCAGCCTTCTATTTTACACTTCGGCGCTCCTAATGCATACAATGCATTTGCACCAACAAGAATACGTAGACAAATTAGCACTGAACCCTTTGCATTTCTGTGCTCTTAATACACGCAATTCTTTTTAATAAATTTTTGGCACTAGGACAACAAAATCTGTGCTAGTCTTCTATTTTACAGTTCCGCGCTCCCGATAGATGCAATTCATTTCCAGTAAAAGGAATATGTAAGTAAATTAGCACCCGACCCTTTGCATTTTTGTGCTCGTAATACACGAGATTCTTTTTAATGAGTATTTGGTATCAGGAGAACATAATATGTGTTAGCCTTCTATTTTACACTTCCGCGCTCCTGATACTTGCCATGCTGTTGCAGAAAAGGGAATCGTAGGCAAATTAGCACTCGACCCTTTGAATTTTATGTGCTCCTAATACATGCGTTCCCTTTTAACGCATTTTTGTTACCAGGGACGTGATCCTGATACATAAAATTAATTAGGCACATTAGCACTGAACTCTTTGCCTTTCTGTGCTCGCCTTTAATGCACGTGATTGTTTTTAATTAATATTTGGTACTATTAGAAGACCGCAATATGTGTTATCCTTCTATTCTATACTTCCGCGCTCCTGATACACGCATTTAATTTGCAGTAAAAGGAATACGTAGACAAATTAGCATTCAACCCTTTGCTTGCGTTCCTGATGTGCTCCTAATACACGCGATTTTGTTTAACAAGTTTTTGGAGTACCTCATTTGCTCCTAATACATACGATTTTGTTTAACTAATTTTTGGAGTACATTATGTGCCGGGCTTCTATTTCACATTCTTACGCGCTCGTGGCACATACAATTAATTTCCAGTACTACAAAAAATACGTAGGCACATTAGCACTCAACTCTGCATTTCTGTGACTCAATGAATTTTTGGTACCACGCGAACATTAACCTGGGTTAGCCTTCTACACTTCCGTGCTCCTAATACATTCATTTGCAGTAAAAGGAGTACGTATGCAAACCCTTAGCATTTCTGTGCTCCTAATACACGCGATCCTTTTTAATGAGTATTTAGTATCAGGAGAACATATTGGCCCGTTTGATTAAAAGTAAGCAAATGCTTATTCTTGCAAAATTCAAAGTAAATACTCGTAAGTGCCCAGTGCGAAGGAGCACTTACGAGTATTTACTTTGAATTTTGCAAGTATAAACATTTGCTTACTTTTATTCATACGGGCCAATATGTGTTAGCCTTCTATTTTACATTTCCGCACTCCTGATACATGCAATTTAGTTGCAGAAAAGGGAATATCCAGGGGAATATGTAGGCAAATTAGCCCTCGACTCTTTGCATTTTATGTTCTCCTAATACCCGCGATTCTTTTTAACGAATTTGTTTTACCACGGGAACATTAATCTGGGTTAGACTTCCGTGCTCCTAACACGTAAAATTCATTTGCCGTAAAAGGAATACGTATGCAAACCCTTAGCATTTCTGTGCTCCTAATATACGCGATTCTTTTTAATGAGTATTTGGCATCAAGAGAACATAAGATGTGTTAGCCTTCTATTTTACATTTCCGCGCTCCTGATACATGCAATTTAGTTGCATAAAAGGGGATACGTAGGCAAATTAGCACTCGACCCTTTGCATTTTATGTTCTCCTAATACCCGACATTCTTCTCAACGAATTTTTGTTATCACGAGAACAATAATTTCGATTAGGCCTCTAGACTTCCGTGCTCCTAATAAATAAAATTCATTTGCAGTAAAAGGAATATGTATGCAAACCCTTAGCATTTCTGTGCTCCTAATACATGCGATTCATTTTAATCTGTATTTGGTATCAAGAGAACATAATATGTGTTAGCCTTCTATTTTACACTTCCGCGCTTCTGATACATACAATTCATTTCCAGTGAAATGAATTCGTAGACAAATTAGCACTTGCATTTCTGTGCTCCTAATTTCTGAGACTAGGAGAATATGCTTGATTTTTTACACATATCACAGATAAAAAAGTGTTGCTTACACTTCTATGTTTCTGGTACATTCAATTTAGTGGCAGTAAAAGACAGAGACAAACTAGCACTCGACTTTTACGCTACACGGTTCTCTTTCTAATTCTAGAAATTTCTTTTTAGTGAATTTTTGATACCAGACAAACGTACTAGGTGTGAGTCTGCTGTTGTTCAACTCTGTGCTCCAGCCACGTGCGGCCCATTTGGGGAAAAATAAATACGTAGGTAACTTTTGCGTTCCTGCTCCAAGTAATGTGATTAATCCTTGTATTTGGTACAAGGAGAACATAATAGGTGTCACCCAACTATCTTGCACTTCTGGTGCATTTAATTGTGTACAGTAAAAGTAGTAGGTGGCAAATTAGTACGTGTCCCTTTGAATTCCTGTGCTCCTCATACATGCAAATTTTTAGCGAGTTTATGGTAACAGGTGAAGCGTGCTGCTTTGCAGTGCTCCTGATACATTCAATCCATTTACGCTTTCTTCTGCGCTTTGTAATCCAACCAATTCTTATTAGAAAGTTTTTGGTGGTAGGAAACCATAACAGGTACCTATCTCTATACTCACTTCTGTGCTCCTGGTACCTACATTGAATTTATGTGCAGTAAAAGGAGTAAGGTCGGGAAATCGGAGCCCACCCCTTTGCATTCCTGTGTTCCTGATACACGTAAGTTTGTTTAGTGAGTTTTTGATGCCAAGAGCACACAGTAGCCTGCAGTTTTGCATCTCTCTGCGCCTGGTCTATTCAATTCATTTGCAGTAAAAGGAATATGAGTTAGTGCAATCAATTTTTATTAGAGTATTAGGGGAAATGTAGCTATCTGTCAGTCTGCTATGACTGCTGCACTCCTGGGTAGATTCAAATTACTTAATTCGCAAGTAGAGAGGTAAATTAGTATACAGCCCTTTGCATTTCTATTTTGAAGCACGCAATTTTTTTGGTGATATCAGCAGAATATAGTAGTATTGCTCCTCTGTGCTCCTGATACACTGACATAGAAATTTTGCGTTTTGTGATGAAACCAACAACACCAATAGGAACTGTTTTTTGTGAGTTTTTGACACTAGGAGAACAAAGGTAGGTGTTAGCCTCTTTTCTTGTAGTTCTGTGCTCCTGGTACATCAGTGTCTTCATTTGCAGTAAAATGATTATTGAATTTCTGTGTTTTTTCATGACATTCAGTAGGTAGGTACAAATTGTAGGTAAATTCCAATGTCTACCTATTACATTACGCAAAATATTCCCGCACTAAAAATGTAAACACACAAACAACCTCATTACAGGAAATAACATCCATTTAGTCACTTAACTGATCACAAGGTGAGAGCATGCCAAATTTTATGACAATACTTCAATTAAGATGTTATTCAACGCTTCAGCTGTCAAGTGAATATGAGGGTCCCTGCCAAAAAGAGGTCGATGGAAAAATACCGGCGCCTTAATTGGATGAGATGGCACGACACTGTAAATTGATAGTAATAGAGCATAGGATGTGCAATAAAAATTGTTCTAACCGGTCATTGCGGATTGCAAGTAAGTCAACGGACTTAAAGCGCACTTGCAAATAATTTGCATAACTTGGTTTGTCCCACCTGAAAAGTGTCGTCCCGTGTGAAACAAAAAATTCCGTTCTGAAACTTTCGAGTTTTCTCATTTTCAGGTTCGTAAATTTTCGTAGAAACTCAAACAGGATTTGGTTTGGGGATCCTGCTTCTAATGCGTTGTCAGGAAGATCAGCAATAAAATCTCTAGCGGACGATTCTGCTGACTTAAAAATATGAAACGGGACAACACACTCAGAATTAATGAGGTTTTTTTTGCTTTTACTCTTTTGATCTGAAACCTTGAGAAGGGTAATCTGGCTACATACAGCAAATTCATGTCGCTGGGAAGAAATTCAGCAACATAGAAAGATTCACTTTTTGGCATGAATATGTGGCGACTTAAAATTTGGAGCAGAATTATATTAATATTGGAAGATGAGTTGTTGCTGGGAGATCAGCAACATTTCAAACATTCATATTTCTCTAACGCGGATGGTTTTGTGGGGGCAGGATTATCTGGATAGTTAGCAATACAAGCAAAATCACATTACTAGAAAGGAATTCAGCAACATAACTTGAACGATTCACTTTTTGGCATGAATATGTGGCAATACCGGCAGGATAGAGTTTTGGAGGATCCTGTTTCCACTATTTTGCTGAAGAGACAGCAGGAAGGTGCCGATTTAAAATTTGGAGCAGAATTATGGTAATATTAGAAGACGAGTTGTTGCTGGGAAATCAGCAACATTTCAAAAATTCGTTTTTCTCTAACGCGGATGGTATTGTTCAGGCAGGATTATCTGGATAGTTCGCAATATAAGTAAAATCACATTACTAGAAAGGAATTCAGCAACATAGCTTGAAAGATTCACTTTTTGGCATGAATATGTGGCAATACCGGCAGGATTGAGTTTTGGAGGATCCTGTTTCCACTATTTCGCCGAGAAGACAGCAGAAAGATGTTGTCGATTTAAAATTTGGAGCAGAATTATGGTAATATTAGAAGATGTCGCTGGGAAATCAGCAACATTTCAAAAAATCATTTTTCTCTAACGCGGATAGTTTTGTGGGGGCAGGATTATTTGGATAGTTAGCAATACAAGAAAAATCACATTACTAGAAAGGAATTCAGCAACATAACTTGAAAGATTCACTTTTTGGCATGAATATGTGGCAATACCAGCAGGATGGAGTTTTGGAGGATCCTGTTTCCACTATATTGCTGAGAAGATAGCAGGAAAAAAGGTGCCGACTTAAAATTTGGAGCAAAATTATGGTAAATATTAGAAGATATGTTGTTGCTGGGAAATCAGCAACATTTCAAAAATTCTTTCTCTCTAACGCGGACGGTTTTGTTGGGGCAGGATTATCTGGATAGTTAGCAATACAAGCAAAATCACATTACTAGAAAGGAATTCAGCAACATAACTTGAAAGATTCACTTTTTGGCGTGAATATGTGGCTAATACCGTCAGGTGGAGTTTTGGAGGACCCTGTTTCCACTATTTCGCCGAGAAGACAGCAGAAAGATGTTGTCGATTTAAAATTTGGAGCAGAATTATGGTAATATTAGAAGATGAGTTGTCGCTGGGAAATCAGCAACATTTCAAAAAATCATTTTTCTCTAACGCGGATAGTTTTGTGGGGGCAGGATTATTTGGATAGTTAGCAATACAAGCAAAATCACATTACTAGAAAGGAATTCAGCAACATAACTTGAAAGATTCACTTTTTGGCATGAATATGTTGCAATATCGTCAGGGTTTTGGAGGATCCTGTTTCCACTATTTTGCTGAGAAGATAGCAGGAAAAAAGGTGCCGACTTAAAATTTGGAGCAGAATTATGGTAATATTAGAAGATGAGTTGTTGGTGGGAAATCAGCAACATTTCAAACATTCATTTTTCTCTAACGCGGATGGTATTATTGGGGCAGGATTATCTGGACAGTTAGCAATACCAGCAAAATCACATTACTAGAAAGGAATTCAGCAACATAACTTGAAAGATTCACTTTTTGGCATGAACATGTGGCAATACCGTCAGAATGGAGTTTTGGAGGATCCCGTTTCCACTATTTTGCTGAGAAGATAGCAGAAAGATGTTGCCCACTTCAAATTTGGAGCAGAATTATGGTAATATTAGCAGATGAGTTGTTGGTGGGAAATCAGCAACATTTCAAAAATTCATTTTTCTATATCGCGGGCTGTATTGTTGGGGCAGGATTATCTGGATAGTTAGCAATACAAGCAAAATCGCATTACTAGAAAGGAATTCAGCAACATAACTTGAAAGATTCACTTTTTGGCATGAACATGTGGCAATACCGTCAGAATGGAGTTTTGGAGGATCCCGTTTCCACTATTTTGCTGAGAAGATAGCAGAAAGATGTTGCCCACTTCAAATTTGGAGCAGAATTATGGTAATATTAGCAGATGAGTTGTTGGTGGGAAATCAGCAACATTTCAAAAATTCATTTTTCTATATCGCGGGCTGTATTGTTGGGGCAGGATTATCTGGATAGTTAGCAATACAAGCAAAATCGCATTACTAGAAAGGAATTCAGCAACATAACTTGAAAGATTCACTTTTTGGCATGAACATGTGGCAATACCGGCAGGATGGAGTTTTGGAGGATCCTGTTTCCACTTATTTTGCTGAGAAGACAGCAGGAAGATGTTGCCGACTTAAAATTTGGAGCAGAATTATGGTAATATTAGATGAGTTGTTGCTGGAAAATCAGCAACATTTCAAAAATCATTTTTCTCCAACGCGGGTGGTATTGTTGGGGCAGGATTATCCGGATAGCTGGAAATACAAGCAAAATCATATTACTAGAAAGGAATTCAGCAACATAACTTGAACGATTCACTTTTTGGCGTGAATATGTGGCAATACCAGCAGGATAGAGGTTTGGAGGATCCTGTTCCCACTATTTTGCTGAGAAGACAGCAGGACGGTGTTGCCGACTTAAAATTTGGAGCAGAATTATGGCAATATCAGAAGATGAGTTGTTGCTGGGAAATCAGCAACATTTCAAAAATTCATCTCTCTCTAACGCGGATGGTTTTATTGTGGCAGGATTATCTGGATAGTTAGCAATACAAGCTAAATCACATTAGGTACTAGAAAGGAATTCAGCAACATAACTTGAAAGATTCACTTTTTGGCATGAATATGTGGCAATACCGGCAGGATGGAGTTTAGGAGGATCCTGTTTCCACTATCTTGCTGAGAAAATATTGCCAACTTAAAATTTGGAGCAGTAAGATGAGTTGTTGCTGAGAATTCAGCAACATTTCTCTAACTGTTGCTGATGTGAATTTTGGACGATAGCACTCGGAGGTTATGCTCGAGTGATCTCCTTGGTGCAAACATCGGGCTTGCGCTGAATAACCCCATTAACAGTGCCCTAGGCGAGTTCGACATATAAGCTACGATCCCTAATTGAGGATGGTTTCTTCTATCACCCTTTTACTTTTGCGGTGTACGAGGGGAAATTAAGTTTTACACAATCGCCAATTAGCCTTCCAGTAACTGCGCGTTCTTAGCAAACCGCCCCCGTACCAATACGAACCCGCAGGTCTTTTATTAACGAAGCGTGAGCTCTGCATGCGACCTATCGCAACTAGGAACGTGTTCACTACGTGATAGTGTTTTTCTTTCAATCCGGCGAAACTTTCCCCCTCGACGACGGCGACGACTCACCGCCGCGCGCGTTTCATATAAACAAAACAATCGAAATAACTGGACTGGAAGCAGTTACGTTCGAACTTTTACGCGGTCAAGATGGGTAAAATGGAAGCCGTCGAGTTTTCGCTCAAAGAAAAATCTCTGAACCTGGTGATCAGGCCGTTACCGAAGATCGAGGATCCGAATCAGGTTTTAATTAAAGTCGCCTACGCGGGCGTCTGCGGTACCGATCTGCACATTACTGAGGTAAGTTGATTTTTTTCGATTTCTCCCTCCGTTTTTTTGAATGTCAACAACAATTAAAAACTGCATTTACCGGTATTAATCCTTCCATTGTTTGTAAACAATTTTTTGTAATTAGCGGAGAATTTTTTTTTTAAATTGCGCGTCCTTAATCGCACATTCCAGCTTCAAGGATTGTTTACCGCTCGGTTTTTTTCCACTCGCACATTTCGGTTGCGCCTGCGAAGGTATCGCGCCGTGATTCAATATCGCGACGACGGAATTTTCCACTAGCTCTCCGCCTGCAAGGAAGGGGAAAATCGACCGTAAAGACTCGCGCGTTAAGGGAGAAATCGCGCGCCTACTCGATTTCAAATTAATGCGGAAACTGTAAATTGTTTTCTAATTTTAAATGGCAATCACCGGAAATTGGCCTATTTAGCTGAGGTACAGGGTCACCCGTTATTTTTTTGTGTCGGGCCGTGGGCGGCATTCCGCCAAAGTCGGGTGGAAAAAAACCGATTCGAAAATAGTTCGATAGGCGAAAGTAAACACATCATTCATCGCACTTATCAACATTTATTAAGTTGTTTACCGCAAGTGACCAACTATCACAACAACGTTAGTTATTGCTGTCTTGCGATACGGAATTCCAAATTAACGCCTAAGCGTTTTCTTAATTTGACCGCAAAATAACAAATTTTCATTAATGACTGACGTAACGTCGTCGGTCTGCACCAAACAGCGACGCCCTACTTTTACGTTTCCCTTAAATTTGCAATTACGCATTCTCTAGAACGCAATTTGAGGTGCACGTAGTCACGGTTAGGTCATTTAAAGGTGTGTAATTGCAATTACGCTTCTGGGAAATAAGAATTTTTCCTGCTTCGCGTAAACACAAAATCATAGGTCAGGGATTCGGATTCACGTAAATGAAGTGCGCTTGAGATAATAGGGTCACATCAATATGTCTCTTTTATTTGGCGATATTCGAAAAAATACTCAAATATAATTTTGTATATGCGACGTCACGATTGGCATATTGAAATGGTCGGTATTACTTCCGGATAAACCGGAAACCGATGCAACTTTTGTTTTTCAAATGCAATGCGTATGTTTTTAGCGCATTTTTTAAGAATTAAGAACAAGTAGAAATTGTGCACAACCCTTAATTGTGCAGGTGCGCATTCTTTTTAAACACCCCTACGAAATTTCTTCCATAAATAAGAAAGTTGGCAGTGCGCATGCGCAAAACAAAATTTTGAAAATGGCGCATGGTTATATTTCTTCCAAACGTCCCAATCGCCCTTTGTATTGTAGGTACTTTCCTTTGACAATTCACTCTTAAGATATAAGGAATTATAACCAATCACGACAAGGGATCGAGGAGGAAGACTATGGTTAGTATAAATTAATTCCTATCCTTGAGACCTTTCATTAGAGTACCATGGAGGATAAAACTGGTCCCCCCCCCCCTCCACTCCGTACTTTGATAAGAGGACAGAAAGAAGGGCAGTAGAAAACTGTTCCTTTCGTTAAAACCTTTAATTAGAATATAATGAAAGATCAAATTAATTTGTAACCCCCCCTCTGGCCCCGTCGCTCACTGATCTCGAAAAAAAGTCGCACGGGAACGTTATAGTTTGTACAAACCAATTTATTTTGATGAGACCTTTCATTAGAATACCATGAAGGGTAGAACATGTGTTAACCCCCCTCCCCCACTTCTACCGTTTCGAACTACTTCTAGGGGAATGGTCCTAATGTCCTAGAATTTTTTGCAGTAGGTAGCCTATACCTTTAAGGTGTGCCAGATGGCCATCTAATTTCGCTGTCTAAAAGGGGCCCCCCCCCCCACGAATTATTTCCTTAGATGCTGTGTTTGAAAGTAAAACTTTTACATACGACAACAAATTGGTCTCAGATTGTGCATACGCATGAGTGGTGGCAAGTTAAATTGGGGGGGGGGGGGGCACATGCTCCACCCTTCATGGTATTCTAACGAAAGGCCTCATCGAAATAAATGGGGGGGGGGTACAAATTAATTTTATCTCTCATTGTATTATAATTAAAGGGCTCAACGAAAGGAACCGTTTTCTACAAACTACTGCCCTTCTTTCTGTACTCTTATCAAAGTACGGGGAGAGGGGGGGGGGGGGAACTAGTTTTATCCTTCATGGTATTCTAATGAAAGGTTTCAACGAAAGGAATTAATTTCTACCAACCATAGCCCTCCTCCTCGACCTCTTATCGTGATCGGGTATATTTCCTTATACCTGAAGAACGGATTGTCGGAAGACGGTACTCACAAAGGGCGATTCAGACTCCTGCAAGGAATATATCCATTGGTGATGATTAAACAAAAGCTATTTCTGTTAAAAAAAATGCGGTTTATCTGCAGAAGAGTTGTGCACAATTTACACGTGTTTTAGGATCTTTGACGAGAGCAATCAGTATGCATATGATTGATTTACAAAAAAATGACTCCACAGTTAGAAAACTTATGAAATGCATACCGTGTGCTGTCAGGATGCGCAGTGTCTCCTGTTACACGGGGGGCGATCGTATCGAGGAAAAATAAGTCTTCAAAACGGAACATTGAACAAAATTGATGTAGGTCTACAGACACCCCGCATCACGACAGCACACGGCATGCTTTTCATAAGTTTTTTACTCGGTTTTTTAAGAATTAATCAAAATGTGCTATTGTTTGCGTTTTGGTCGCCCGTCCGTCCGTCCGGACCCACTTCTGTGCCAGACGGGCATCAAATTTCACTGTCTAAAAGGCCCCCCCCCCCCCACGAATTATTTCTTAAGATGCTGTTTTGTTTTTGAAAGTAAAACATGCATAACTTTCACATACGACCTCAGATTTTTCATACGCATGCCTTTAGTGGTGTGGAACTAGTTTTATCCTTCATGGTACTCTAATGAAAGGTCTCAACGAAAGGAATTAATTTCTACCAACCATAGCCCGCCTCCTCGACCTATTATCGTGATCGGGTGTATTCCCTTATACCTCAAGAACGGATTGTCGGAAGAGGGTACTCACAAAGGGCGATTGAGACGTCTGCAATAAATATATCCATTGGTGATATCAAAACAAAAGCTATTTCGGTTAAAAAAATGCGCTTTATCTGCACAAGAGTTGTGTACAATTTATACTTGTTTTATTTATTTCGGAATATTACAATTTCCAGATTTACGAAATTTTCACAAAGCACAAATTTCTAAACCGGGAAAGTTTAGAAATTTGTCATATTTTGTAATGGTTGATATTTTGGAACTTGTCGCTGGGATTTTGTAGCCTTTGACGAAAAGTAATCGAATCTTTGTCCTCAAAATTTTTGCACTTTTTTTATTTCGCTTATAACTCGAAAAGTACTTTTCCTACAGAAAATTTTACTCTCTTCTTTTCTAAAGAGCATTTAATTCTGCGTCGAATCATTGAAATAAGTTTAGCCGTTCGGCCGCAATCGCCCGTCAAAGATGGGCGATTTTTACAAACTTAGCTCAAAAGTTGACAACCCTCAAATTCTAACGCCTGAGTAGGTCGAAAAGGACTGCACCCATTGAAAAATATCATAGGACCAAACTTGTAGATACTGTAATTGTGAATCAGATGCTTTTTGAAATTTGCAATTCTCCCACTCCAGTGCTGAGATATGAATTTTAAACCGAAAGAGTCTTTAGCGCCAAATTTCCGCTAAGGGTTGTCAACTTTTGAGCTAAGTTTATAAAAATCGCCCATCTTTGATGGGTGATTGCGGCTGAACGGCTAAACTTATTTTAATGTTTCAAACGCCATTCGACTCATAATTTAATGCTCTTTAGAAAAGAAAAGAGTAGACTTTTCTGTAGGATGAGTACTTTTCGAGTTATAAGCGAAATGTTAAAAAAAGTGCAAAAATTTTGCGGGTTTTAGGCTCTCAAATTTGACCCACAACCTAGAAACCGTCTCAAACTCATATACCCGTTATTCAGGACCCCTTAAAGGGGTTAAAACGATTTCCAGGTCTCGAGCAATTTTAGGGCTAGACCTAACTAATTTTCCAGGCTAAAAGGAGGACTCAACCTTTTTTTATTACCTCTACCACTATCATGGTAGTCTTTGAGGAAAGGTAAGCGCATCTTTCTATGATGGGGGGGGGGGGGGTACTCCATACTACCCTACACCTCTGGCGCGACGTTCTCCCACAATACCAAGACTCTCGTGATAGTTTAAAAGGACAGATGAATCTTTCTTTCCTGTAAGCACTGGGGGTATCGAATACCCCCCCCCCCCCGTACCCTCAGCAAAGTAGGACTCAACCATTCTTTTTATATTACTCCTACCACTACCATATGGTAACTTTTAAGGGAACGTAATCGAATCTTTATTCATTTATTTATTTGCCTTTTATTTTTTAGTGGGCGGGGTCTCTCTTTCCTGTAAAGAATTCTGTACCCCATCCCCCCCCCCCCTCAACAGCACCCTCAACAAAGGAAGACTCAACCATTTTTTGTATTACCACTACCATGTCTTTGAGGAAAGGTAATCGAATATTTTTATGCTAGGGGGGGGGGGTTATGGTGCTGGGGGGTATCCATACCTCCCAGACCCCCCGGTGCGACATTCTCCCACAAAAGCGCCGAACCTTCAAGACTCTCGTTAGTTTTTGGAAAAAGCGCAGACGAATCTCTTTCCTGTGAAGGATTCTATACTCCTCACACCCCCCTCTCCTCACGAGCACCCTCAACAAAGGAAGACTCAACCATTTTTTGTATTGCCCCTACCACTACCATGTGTTTGAGGAAAGGTAATGGAATCTTTGTTTAGTCCCCAGACCCCCCCCCCCCCCCCGGTGCCACATTCTCCCACTAAAGCGCTGAAGCTTGAAGATTCTCTTGATAGTTTTTGGAAAGGGACAGATGAATATCTTTTCCCTGTAAAGGATCCTATACCCCACTACCAACTCCGATGCTCTTTTTTTGCAAACGAATGTATCAGTGGTAACCCTGGTGGTAACATTAAACGGTGGTGAGGAATAACAGTACATGGGGGTATAGAATACCCCCCAGCAATACCCTGAGTAAAGGAGAACTCACCAATTTGTTTTTGTATTACCTCTTGCCACTAACATGGTATCATTTGAGGAAACGTAATCGAGTGTTTGTATGCTGGGGGGGGGGGGGGGGGAGGTATTGGAATACCCTCCAGGCCTCCCGGTGCGACTTTCTCCCACAAAAATGCCAAGCCTTCAAGACTCTCGTGATAGTTTTTGAAAAAAGAGAAGACGAATCTCTTTCCTGGAAAGGATCCCCCCCCCCCCCCCCCCGTATCTTCAGTAAAGGAAGACTCAACCATTGTTTTGTATTTACCCCTACCATTACCATGAGAGCCTTTGACGAAAGCTGGGGGTATTCGATACCACAAAGGGAGGGGGGGCCAGTATACAAAGATTCGAGAGAAGGAATGTCTCCCCGCTGCGAAATTATTTTGCCTTGGGCGAGCCGGTCGTCTGTTTCTTCATCTACTTCGCCTTCTTCAGTTTGGGAGCCTTTGAGGCCTTTTTTGGCCTTCGAGGGAGACATCGGGCTTCGCCGAACCGCGCCGGAAGACGGGGAGGCTGCGTATGTCGCCAGCTCGAAGGATCCCGCCGCGCCTTTGCCTAGATTTGGAACCGTTCCCGTGCGGGTGTGCGGCGACTTTAAACTTTCGTGTTGTCTCAACGAAACGAGATCGAAGAAAAGCGCCGTGACTGTTCGGGGGGGGGGGGGGGTGTTTGGCATTATTTGATAGTAAATCTGTAATTGGTTTCTTTTAATTGCAGGCGACATTTCCGTGCGCCAAAGATGGACCGTTCATTTTGGGTCACGAACTTTCCGGCGTCGTCAGCGAGGTGGGCACCGCCGTGAGGTCAATTCGTCCAGGAGACCACGTAGTGGTGGACCCCAACGTGTAAGTAACTCGCAAACTTAACGTCACGTTGCGAACCACTTTAATTGCAGCGGATGCGGAGAGTGTAACTTTTGCCACTCGGGCGAGAAGCACTACTGCAACCGAGGCGGTATCACCAGCTACATCGGCATCTTCAAGGACGGCGCTTGGGCGCAGTACGTAGTCCTTGTAAAGGAGCAAGTCCACGTGCTCCCAGAAAACATCAGTCTGGAGCAAGGTACCAGTCTTTTTCTCCTCGCCTCGTCCTAACTCCTTTTTCCCGCGCAGGTGTTCTAGCCGAGCCGATTTCGTGTCTGGCGCATTCCTGGGACCGTATCTCCCCTATTACCGTTGGCCAAAAAATTTTGGTGCTCGGCGCGGGGATAATCGGCAACTTGTGGGCGTCCATATTGCATTTGCAAGGCCATAAAAGGGTAACGGTTTCGGAACCGATCGTGCAGCGCCTCAAGCTTCAGGAGAATTTGGAAACGGGCTTCGACGGAATCACACCTGACGAGCTGAGAGAGAGACATGAGAATAATGACGACTACTTATTCGACGTCATTATCGACTGCAGCGGACACGCGCCGGCAATCGAGCACGCCTTCTCCCTACTGAACAAAGGCGGAAAGTTGTGCCTCTTCGGCTGCGCCGCCCCTCATTCCATGATTAGGTGAGTCGCGCTTAGCGCCCACGCTTCCCCATTAATCCGCCTCGTTTTGCAGCATTTCACCTCTACAGTTGGCGATGAAAGAGATACAGATTATCGGCTTGTTTTTGAACATGTTCAGTTTTCCGAAGACCCTGGGATTAATGGAGTCGATGTGCGAGAGGTATCTGAGCTACGAAAAGTTGGGGGTGAAGACGTTCGCGTTGAAGGACTACGAGGACGCGCTCGAGGAACTCAGGAAGGGCAGTATTTCGAAGGCGGTGTTTAAATTTTAGGTTTCTAACTCTCAGATAAATTTAGCAATCGACTGTCTTTCACTACATTATGTATTAATTTCTAGCATCTATTTATACGTAGTTAGGCTTAGGGGTAGATTTTTTTAAAGACTTTGTAATAATTATCAGACCTAGTGAGATTGTACTAATGAATAGAATATGAATAAATTTTATTGAGATTCGACCTTATTTAATGGACGTGACTATTCTCACTAAACGCGCACTTGCCCTCTCCATTTCGTCTGGAACTTTAAATTATTAGTATTAGTGGTCACTCTGTAGATGAACACCCTGTACCAAGAAGCTTTTTAAGTTGGGCGTAAATTCATGTTCAATGTCATTCGTCTTCCGACGGATTGCGTAAATTGTGCAATCTTTTGAAAAAGAAGTACGAGATATTCCACTTATCGATTTTTGCTTATTAGACGACCTTTCAGAGGTACCCTAGTATTCGAGACGGGTTCTTAATAAAATTGGCTGTGGGTTATTGACTTCCGGGTGCCTCATGACCGATTAATTGTCTGTCGCCAGTCTGATGGTCGGCGGTAAGACAATGTCTTTCACCTGACCAAAACAGCTAAAGATTTAACCTATTAGCACCATTTTGTAGGCGTGCTAAAAAATTGAAAGAAGGGTAGGGTAGGATACAGACGTTTGCATCAAAAACATAATCTTGTTCTGTTCGTCTGTCTGGCATCCGGAAATTTAACCTTGTTTATTATGCAGCGAGTGAACTAGTCCTAATTCGCAACTATTTTAGAAACTTGCGCACTTGTTCGGGAAATTTGGTGCAGTAGATTTTTGGCTAAAAAGGAAGGTTATACACTGCCTTTTTTTGAGGCCCGAAAAAAAATTGTCTCAGATCGAGCCGAAAAAAAAATATTCTTATAGAATGTGGCCTGTAGAATCCATAATTTCAAACAGTTCCAAGATTGGCTACTAGTTCAAAAGTTACAGCCCTTTGAATTTTTTTTCGAAATTGGTTTCTAGTCTATAACTTTAGATTGAGAAGTCTGATCGAAAAAGTCCGAATTGTTTTGGATTCTACGCACCAAAATTAATAAGAAAAAGTGTTTTCCCGAGAAATTTTGGTGCAGTCGATTTTTGGCTAAAAGGAAGGTTATACACTGCCTTTTTTGGAGACAAGAAAAAAAAATTGTCTCAGATCGAGCCGAAAAAAAATATTCTTATAGAATGTGGCCTGTAGAATCCATAATTTCAAACAGTTCCAAGATTGGTCTACTAGTTCAAACGTTACAGCTCTTTGAATTTTCTTTCGAAATTGGTTTCTAGTCTATAACTTTTGATTGAGAAGTCTGATCGAAAAAGTACGAAATGTTTTGGATTCTACGCACCAAAATTAATAAGAAAAAGTGTTTTCCCGAGAAATTTTGGTGCAGTCGATTTTTGGTAAAAAAGAAAGGTTATACACTGCCTTTTTTTGAGCCCCGAAAAAAAAATTGTCTCAGATCGACCCGGAAAAAAAATTTTCTTATAGAATGTGGCCTGTAGAATCCATAATTTCAAACAGTTCCAAGATTGGGCTACTAGTTCAAAAGTTACAGCCCTTTGAATTTTCTTTCGAAATTGGTTTCTAGTCTATAACTTTTGATTGAGAAGTCTGATCGAAAAAGTACGAATTGTTTTGGATTCTACGCACCAAAATTAATAAGAAAAAGTGTTTTCCCGAGAAATTTTGGTGTAGTCGATTTTTGGTAAAAAAGGAAGGTTATACACTGCCTTTTTTTGAGCCCCGAAAAAAAAATTGTCTCAGATCGACCCGGAAAAAAAATTTTCTTATAGAATGTGGCCTGTAGAATCCATAATTTCAAACAGTTCCAAGATTGGGCTACTAGTTCAAAAGTTACAGCCCTTTGAATTTTTTTTCGAAATTGGTTTCTAGTCTATAACTTTTGATTGAGAAGTCTGATCGAAAAAGTACGAATTGTTTTGGATTCTACGCACCAAAATTAATAAGAAAAAGTGTTTTCCCGAGAAATTTTGGTACAGTCGATTTTTGGCTAAAAAGGAAGGTTATACACTGCCTTTTTTGGAGGCAAGAAAAAGACAATTGTCTCAGATCGATCCGGAAAAAAAATTTTCTCATAGAATGTGGCCTGTAGAATCCATAATGTTAAACAGTTCCAAGATTGGGCTACTAGTTCAAAAGTTACAGCCCTTTGAATTTTCTTTCGAAATTGGTGTTTAGTCCATAACTTTTGATTGAGAAGTCTGATCGAAAAAGTACGAATTGTTTTGGATTCTACGCACCAAAATTAGTAAAAAAGTGTTTTCCCGAGAAATTTTGGTGCAGTCGAGTTTTCGCTAAAAGGAAGGTTATACACTGCCTTTTTTGGAGGCCCGGAAAAAAAATTGTCTCAGATCGAGCCGGAAACAAATTTGCTTATAGAATGTGGCCTGTAGAAACCATAATTTCAAACAGTTCCAAGATTGGGCTACTAGTTCAAAAGTTACAGCCCTTTGAATTTTCTTTCGAAATTGGTTTCTAGTCTATAACTTTTGATTGAGAAGTCTGATCGAAAAAGTACGAATTGTTTTGGATTCTACGCACCAAAATTAATAAGAAAAAGTGTTTTCCCGAGAAATTTTGGTGCAGTCGATTTTTGGCTAAAAGGAAGGTTATACACTGCCTTTTATGGAGGCCCGAAAAAAAAATTGTCTCAGATCGAGCCGGAAACAAATTTGCTTATAGAATGTGGCCTGTAGAAACCATAATTTCAAACAGTTCCAAGATTGGTCTACTAGTTCAAAACTTACAGCTCTTTGAATTTTTTTTCGAAATTGGTTTCTAGTCTATAACTTTTGATTGAGAAGTCTGATCGAAAAAGTACGAATTGTTTTGGATTCTACGCACCAAAATTAATAAGAAAAAGTGTTTTCCCGAGAAATTTTGGTGCAGTCGATTTTTGGTAAAAAAGGAAGGTTATACACTGCCTTTTTTTGAGCCCCGAAAAAAAAATTGTCTCAGATCGACACGGAAAAAAATTTTCTTATAGAATGTGGCCTGTAGAATCCATAATTTCAAACAGTTCCAAGATTAGGCGACTAGTTCAAAAGTTACAGCCCTTTGAATTTTTTTTCGAAATTGGTTTCTAGTCTATAACCTCGGTTTTAACACAAGATTGAAAAACCTGTTGAATATGACGTAGGTTAAGGCAAGTAAATCTGTGATATAAATAGCATGTAAACCCTTACAATAAATGTTATCAGTTAACAATTTTCGAACTGTCGTTGGGCTACACAGCCGGAGGTCGGGCGTTCGAACCTGGGCTGCGGTAAGGATTTTTTTATCTGTGGCAGAGATGGGAATTTCCTTAGATCAGTTTCGAGCATTCTGTCGGCTACTCCGAATTAGGTTTTCCTGGGGCTCCTCTAAAAAGCACTCGATAATTGGGCGTATAATAATAAATAAATTAATAATTCCTGACCGAATTTTATCTGTCTAAGATTTGCTTGGACGATTTGCAACCCTAACGCTACATTATGTGGAATAGGAATTCACATTGTGCCGTAGACGAAGTTGAGTAAAACACCTGTAAATGTCCTATTGGTGAAAAGACAATTCGTGCTTAAGGTTTGGATTTAGAGAATATAGGCAACTGGTGATGCACATGTAATTCAATGGGGCGTGCATTGCCTCTGAACTTCATTCACCATTTCATAAGCAAGGGGTGTATCTGATCGGAAAAATATGTATTAGGTAGATAGATGTACAGAGCATAGTTTCCATACAATATAAACTGATATTTTGTCCATTAATATATGTTTATAAAATCTAGAAAATATGCGTCAAAAGAGTTCATACTTTAGGAATGAATTGCAAAAATTAGGGAGCATTTTAAGCAATACGAGTGTATGGGATCGGTAGCCTGAATACTTATCTATATTTTGGCTATTCATGTGAAGCTCAAAAGTTTTCATAATAAAAGTGGTGAATGAAGTTCTGAAAAATGGACATGTAAACTGGCGAAATGGAAATAAACTACGCAACTGTGACTAATATCGCGGTCAACAGTGTAGCTTCTTTCTCACAGAGGGTGCCACCAAGAGTTTTATGAAATCAATAAAAAAAAATACGATAAAGACATATGAAATAAGCGCTTTTATCTTGCGATGGACTCGTTCTTACTTTTTAACTAGGCTAGTACTGTGTAATGGGGATAATAAAAGACAAAAATTTACGAGCAAAAAAAACTAGCAGGCTATGTAAGTTGCCTATGTTAAATCATTTAGCGATTCTCCTTCAAGGTTGAACAGAGCGTGTAATAGTAGAATTTGCTGACAGCAAAAAAAAGATCGTTCACTGGTATATTTTTATTTTGTCAACTCCTTGCTTCGATATTTATTTGGTTTCCCTTTCCTATTCATTGCAAACGGTGTACCCTCTACCTATCGTTGTATATGAAATAAATAATAGAAATGGGGATAGGTAACATTCCTTTACAACAAATATCAAAATTTTTTTTTAGAACAAAGGGTTGTTGTATATTGTTGTTGATGTCTGGCAAGCGGCGACCTTCTGTGGGTGTTTATTTGTAATACGATTTGTTTGACCGTCTCCCTTATTCTTTATCTTTGCTTATTGCAGATTAAATACCGTAAATTTATAATCCATACCTTGTTGCAAATTAAATTTTTTGAACTGCAATAGTGTCATTGAATAAAGCTCTTTATTCAATGATAGTACCTATTATATATTAGTATTAGTTTAGTGTAATGTGTAATAATTGACCTATACAGGGTGATTCAAATTCGAGGGCCACCATGGGGATCTCGGGAACTGTAAGAGATAGGTAGGTAGGTAGTTTACATTTGACAAAGTTGCGTATTTTTGATGCTTAACAAAATCCAGTTTTGAAACTGAAAAAATTCCGACTACTTTCGGAGAAAAACGAAATTTTGCAAAATCGTTTTTATTTTTTACTGAAGTTATTAAAATAGTTATTTATATAACAAGAGCGCTAGCGTTATATACAATATTTTTTCTACAACTGAACCGATTATTAATTAAAATTGCTGTTTAAGTTCAACTTTGTCACGTGCGCGAAATACTTTTTTTCACTGTTGACGATTTCGCGCACGTTGTCAATAGCAACCTTACTTATTAATTAACCGTTTCAAAATCTAGTACTTCGCGTTTCGAAATCCGTCAGAAAATGACAGGTTTTTTGACAGTTGTAGAAAAAAGATATTTCAAAATAAATGACACATTATTATGACTACTTTTTTCCCTCTACAAGATGGTACTTTTAAATTTTAAGTTTGACGTTTCGTCTCCAGTCAACCATCAACCATCTTTGTTTTTTCTTATGGAAGCAATTTTGAATGTTTGTGTTATTTAATAAAGAATTTTTTTCTGATTTCAAAAATATAAAACATCATCTATTTTTAATACGATTAATTCGTAAAAACGCAAGAAACTACTACGTACGTTACTTAAGACAAAGTTTTGTAGGCAAATTTTACAAACATTAAAAAAACTGATGTGTACATTTTTGAAATCAGAAAAAAATTCTGTATCAAATGACACAAAAAGTAAACATTACTTCCATAAGAAAAAAACAAAGTGGATGATAGTTAACCGGAGACGACATGTCGGATTTGAAATTTTAAATTAGAATCTTGTAGAGGGAAAAAAGTGGCCATAATAATGTGTCATTTATTATTAAATATCTTTGTAAATAACTTCAATAAAAACAAACACGATTTTCAAAATTTTGTTTTTTTCCGGATATCTCCGAAAGTAGGCAGAATTTTCAGTTTCAAAACTGCATTTTGTTAAGCATCAAAATACACAACTGCCAAATTTAAACTACCCACCGTCTACGGATCCTATCTCTTACAGTTCCCGAGATACCCATGGTGGCCCTCGAATTTGAATCAGCCTGTATATTACTAATTTACAAAAGACCATCCCTCGAATGTAAGACATGGGGAACAAATGTATATTTAGGTATAAACGGCTAAAAAATTAAAAAAAAAATCGGTATACCGTATGTCCCCGGATTGACTTTACAAGAAGAAAAACTTTTACTATACTTTTTGACAAAAATGCATTCTCCATAAAAGCTTTTGCTTGTTCTAATTCGAAATTTCACTAGCGTTTCAGAAAAAAATACAAAAAAAAACGAAAATATGGTTGAACTTTTTCCAAGTCCTAAAAGTCAAAACGCGTCTCTACTGTAATAACATTTCGTTAGTTACAGTCTTGCGAGTTGGTCGTTCCCTGTTATTTGAATAGGTACTCGGATCGTCATAAGCATAAGTATAACAAACACACTTCGTAATGACATTGAATAAAAACCTCTTTATTCAATGGTAACAATGAAAAAGAATTGAATTTCCAAAGGTGTTTTCTTAGATGTCCGCTTTTTACCGTTAAGTGAAGGAATCGAGAGTTTTTACTAATATAAGGGCCCTTCCAAACAAAAAGCCCCTGTCGCCACTTGTGAACCAATTTTCCGACCTTAATTTTGAAAGTTCCCCATGCCAATAATTACGCGATTTTTACTTGAAAAGTTACGTTACAAGCGTTCATTATTCTCCTCAAGTTATGTGCGGTAGAGCTAATTATAATTTTGTTAACCTAGCAGTCTGTAAGGAGCCGTGAACGACCTTGCGTTTGTGTTTTGTATCTTCTTGCCGTGTGGTTATGCAATTCAAATTGCATTTTTGTTTAAAGCTCCCTCTGCGTTGTTTGGGGCCCACTTAAAGAGAATATAATGATTTAAATATTTGTATAGAAAACTGCTGTAGTTACGCTACTCATTATTAGGTACCAGCACAGTCTAACGAAAAAAACTTTGTCCTTTACTATGGGTACTTCTCTTTTCAGGCAATCCCAGCCTTAAAAGTGAGACAGGGTTAAGTTAACTACCTGTAAGTTAGTCTATTTGTGATACATGCGGTAGGAGCTTTAATGCAACTTTTCGCTTACAATTGCGCAATATTTAATGCAATTTAATTGGGCACGCGTTTAACAAATGTATATTGAAGCAAAATCTTTGGACGCGTAGGGGATCAGTTCATATCAAATAGTAAAGGAGATGTACTAAAAATTGCTAGTTTGTGCAACGCCATCTTCCAATCGGTTGCAACAATTGCGTCCTTTTCGCGCGAACACTCGACGTACTACCAACTGTTATTCAGCGACAAGAATTTCGTCCAGTCGCATTTTGGCCCACGTCTGAGTGCAACGGTCGCACGGTGCGTTTTTGCTACAATCGAACTAATTAACGCAGGTAAATTTCGATTGCACACGATTTATTAATGAAGCAAATCTTGACCTACATTAATAAATTCAAAGACGACCGTGCGCATGCGTTATTCGGCATTATTGCGTCACAAATATCAATACATGGGACTGGAGTAGCATACACTTTGGTTTAAAGTGTTCGCCCTATTTTTGGTTTTAATTCAAAGACAGACATGTGAGTACTAACTGTAATGTGTCGCTTAGAAGGTGCTTCTTTTAGGAATTGTTTCTTTGTAATTTCGCGTACGTTTACTAAATGGGAATGGAAATTGCACGCATTGTTCAGGGCGCGCTTACACAATTTAGAATTGCTTTTCCTCAGTCTATCCTCCCGTTTCCCAATTCCTTCGGTGAGCCCTTCCGCTTGATTCCGCATTTCGAAAGTAGGCAGACGATTTTTTTTTCCAAAATTGAATATCGTCCGACAACATAAAATCGATTTTTTTTCTTACGCATGCGCTCGTACTGACACCGCAAAAAAATCGCGCTAACTAATGTCTTCTAAGGTCGGCGGGAGATTCTCTGGGACCTTCTGGTGGCGACGATGGAATCGTTGGCGGTCCCAGGACGCCCCAGCAGGTCGCCGCACAGAAGCGCCTCCAACAAACACAGGCGCAGGTCGACGAGGTCGTCGACATCATGAAAACGAACGTAGAAAAGGTACTCGAACGGGACCAGAAATTATCGGAGCTAGACGATAGGGCAGGTAATGTTCGGCACATGTAAGTAGCCCTTTAGCTAACGAGTAAACTATCTATCAGACGCACTGCAACAGGGAGCGTCGCAATTCGAACAGCAGGCGGGAAAGTTGAAACGAAAATTTTGGCTACAAAATCTAAAGGTGAGCGCACAACGTGCGACGCCACTCTCTCTAACCGGCCCTTTTTGTTGTAGATGATGATAATAATGGGCGCGATCGGTCTCGTCATTCTAATTATCATTATCAGTAAGTAACCCCTTCTCACTTCTTTTTTTAGAAATTTTTTTGGCGAAAAGGGCCGCAGCATAAACTCTTTCTTTTCGTAGTGAACTTCATGTAACCATCTGCCATTTACTTAAACTACGAAATCACTTTGGTAATTAATATAAAATATTGGTGTTTTTGTGTAAAATTGGTGTCAAGTGGCTTCTGTCTGTCTTTCTGTATAGAGGTCCCAGATTTTTGAAATTTTTCATCATTTAGTTTAGTGCGTTAATACATCATCCTTATGGCGCCACTAGCCGTAGGATCCGTCCTACGGTTACCTGGCGCGTAGAGGCATGCCGAAAGTGACACGGTGCATGTTTTGCTGTACTGGGACTACATCAGATCGAGGAATGAGCATGAGGAGATGCATGCGCTTAGTGTTTTGCGGTAAGAATAGCTGCGCTCTCATATTGCTTTCAATCGGACAGCCTCCGATGTACATCGAACGTCCATGCAATGTACATCTGATTGACACAAGCCATTTACAAGCAACAGCAAAATACCAATAGCTGCACGTACACTGTACGTCCCTTAAACGTCCACTGAAATTCAGCGGCATTTCTTTTCTGAATCTAGTGGCACAAATTATGAGCCGTTTAGCTAAAGTAGAATTTACCAGCGCGGAACGTGCATTACAAATTAATTAAACAGTTTCTTAGTTATTTAGCAACGATTTAGAATTGGTACTCATTTCTATCTGTGTAATTAGAACAAATTATCTGATCCATAGAATCAGGAATTGCCTATTTCAAAGCATCAATTAAAACTAATTAGACTTTGCGACAATTTCAACTACGGTACGGAATTGAATACCTCATAAGCCCGCATACTTCTTTAAATCAATTTTTATATGACACAATTAGGCATTAATTAGCCACTTTGTCCAAATTAGGCGCTAATTTGTACGTTGTTGAGGCCATATTTTAATTAGGATGGGGAATTACATCATCACTGATTCCTGCATTTCGGTCGAAACTAATTTTTCTATACAAAATTAAGACACACTAATTGGGCGGTAATTACATGTTATTATGGACATATGCTGAGATGCAGAGTAGATATCGCACACGCTTGTTTAAGTTAATTTTCGTGGGCATTAATTTATCTTAATTAGGCGGCAATTTCAATTTCAACTGGGAACGGAATTGACGATTTTACTAATTACTTGCTACTAACGACTCAGGCGAAACCTCATGAGAGCGCATACGTGTTCGGGTGCAACAATTAGGCATTAATTAGGTTCTTTATCCTAATTAGCGGCGAATGGGATACTCAAAAACCTAATTGACGACTTCAATTACACAAACACGCATTAATTTACTATCTTAAGGATGGTAATTAGGCACATATTATGCACTGCCTATTAATTACGCGGTAGTTAAGTATGTGTAATTACTGCGATTGTGCCTACAATAACAGTTAACAGCTAATCGCTACTGAAGACATCATGTGGATGCATCCCTATTTAAAGTAACTTTATTGCGGAACACTGGGGCATTAATTAGACTCTCCATCCCAATTATTAAAGAATATTTCAACTGCTCCATACTAATTAATCCGTAATTGAAGCAATTTTTGCGTTGTGAAACTGCGCCTTACTTTACCGGCAAGCATACCTGGTTTAATTTAAATTTTGTGTTTAGAATTTAGACTCCTATCATTAATTAATTATGCGCTATTGAAGTCACTCTTTAATTATGATGCGTTCAGCGTTGTCTACTTCACGAAGAAACGTATCAAATTTTAATTAATTTTCTCATTTAATAATTAGGCTCTAATTTTGTAATTTTTCAATTTTCAATTATGACTAGGTAATAATTCTGCGTTATTAAACCAAATTTGAGATAAGATAATAGTCACTTTAAAAACTACAGGCACTAGCTTCGTACATTAATTTTCTTGTGAAAAAGTTAGGCCCCATTAGTTACTAATTTAGGCGGTAATTATACGAAGGCAATACTTCCAACTTTAATAGCAAGTTTGCTATTTAAAACCCTCGTGACACACTAAATTTCGATAAGTGCTCGTTTATAACTACGGAGTATTTAGATTGGGACATTAATTACGTGGTAATTATGTGCACTTAAGTCCATATTACTTTGAACCGTACACTAAATCATTTGGGTATCTCGGAATTGGTTATTTTAAAGCACGATTAATGCACACAATTCGTCGACATTAATTTTTCTAACCACTAATTAGACCTTGCACACTAATTGGGCGGTAATTACTTGTTATTAAGGAAATCTGTTGTCTACATATTAGGCGCGAATTAGATATATAAAAAATTGGCGATTTGAATTTTACAAGCACGCATACGAGTATATTTACATTAATTAACATTCTTGTATAGTAACATTGAATAAGTACTTATTCAATGATAATAATTAGACACCAATTATATACTGCAAATTAATTAAGCGGCAGATTTAATATACTTAATAATTACTTAAACGCTCCCGAAGCTATTTTTCAACTATGTTTCGAAATTGGGACATTATTTAGATTTCTTTTACTAATTAATTATGTGTTATTGAAGTCACTCTTTAATTACAATGCGTAATGACTGCCTAAAACGATGCCCTAATGCGCCTTATTTCAGGAACTGACTATTTTAAAAATTCGACAAACGCATCGAATTTAAATTAATTTTTCCATGTGACAATTAGGTTCTAAGTCTGTAAGTCTTGTACAAGAAATACTAATTAGGATTTGGTAGTAATTATGTGGTATTAAACCAAATTTGAGATAAGAATGGAGCCACTTTAAGAACTTCAAGCAGTTCTACCTTTTGGTATTAATTTTCTTGTGTAAGAATTAGGACCTAATTAAACTTCGCGTAACTAATTAGGCGGTAATTATGCGCTATCATAGAGTAAATAATATATTACTCTATGGCGCTATGAAAGCAATCCTTCAACTATAATGGCAAGTTTGCTATTTCAAACCCTCGGTACATTCATTAACAACTACGGAGTATTTAGATTGGGGCACTAATTAGGCGGTAATTATGTGCACTTCAGTCCATATTACATTGATCCGTAAACTAAATGATTTGGGTTTCCCAATAATGCGACGCTGGGACATATTTTTCGAGAATAAAATAAACGGTCAGCGGATGCACATTACATTAAACGATGATTCGAAATTAATACTCTAATTAAATAGTTAATCGGCATTTCCAAGATAGTAATATGACAATTTTTTATAATTGAATGTTTGTGAAGTAGTTTAGCAACGATTCGGAATTGGATATTGCAAATTCTATAATTACACATTGTGTAACTAGATCGAATTATGTGATAATTAAGGTCAATTACTTGCCATAGGATACGATATTAATTAGTTTAAAACATGATTGATACACATATTTCCGTCGAAACTAATTTTTGTGTTTAACAACTAAGCACTAATTAGACCTTGCATACTAATTGGGCGGTAATTAGGAAGTATGTTGATTACGGTACAGATTCGATCACTTTAATAACGCAGCCTACTTGTTTAAATTAATTTTGGTATGGACTAATTATGTTTTTTATCTTAATTAGGTGCGAATTACACATTTAAAAACCTAATTGGCGATTTGAATTTGACAAGCACGCATATATCTACATTAATTAAAATTCTTGTATGTAATTAGACACAAATTATATACTGCATACTAATTAAGCGGTAGATTCATATATTTAATTACTGGCTCACTAATTACTTTTGTGTTTAAAATTCGGACATTAATTACACTCCTTTTACTAATTAATTATGTGGTAATTATGTGCATTGAAGTAGGTATATATTTCCATTGACCCTTAAATTTGAGTTTCCAAGGTACTTTGTGGGATAATGCAGAAACACTTTTTTTCGCGATAATTATGCGTTTTTAGAATGATGATGATTTGTGCAATTTCTGCGCATTGTTTCATTCGCATTTCGTGCCACTAGAATTATGTGCTACTCATTGACGGGTTTTTGACTACTCGAAATAACTTCCAGGCCCTACGATATTGTTTCTCTTTTCGTGACCGTGGAATACCACTGACTCAGCAATTCACACGCTACTTAGCATGCTTGATAACGACGGATGAGCCCTTGCAAGATAATTACTTAATTCTAACTCATTCCGTCATCTCCCACGACTTCTCGGCGCCTCAAGCTTTCACACGCATTTCAACAGCCAGGACTGTATTCCACTGTATTTAAGTAAAAAAAATCAAATAAAATCATCAGCGGGCTCCCGTCTGGTTAATGCAATATATGAGAGAGCGGTTAAAAGCTATAAGGATAACGTATTTTGATATGATATGAATGGCTAACTAAAGCTTGGATGATTGACAAAATGGCTGAAACGCACCCATAGCTTAAAAGGCGTATGTAATTAGGTAATGAATGCATGGTTCGTAGCTACGCATGCGTCTACAACACATTTCTGATCATCATACATCTCATTACATAATATATTAACATACATCCGAAAGACAGACAGAACAATACTTCACAAACAAAAACAAACAGCTATAATAACCCATTAAAAGAAAATGGTTGCCTGTATTAAGAAACCTTTATGCATCTCTAACCGAAGTCAAATAAGAATAAAGCCAGGTTTAAGCAGCTCAAAAATGTTTTATTCTAATTTGAACTGTAGTTTCCCCATAAGCGCATACGGAAAGGCTATGATTGGACGGGTTCCGTACGTGCTTATGTATCAACCTCCCCCACGCGTAGGTACCGAAAGTGCGACGCACGTTGTGAGTAATTATTTTTTAGTGAAATTTATGCCCGAAAGTACACCTCAACCTCAAGTTCAACAATACAACCCAGCGCTGATCCAGCCAGGAGCCGGACCTGCCGCACCGCAGCCAGGTCAGGTTGCGAACACCCCAGCGCCGCCAGCGGCAAGCGGTTAACTTCAACCAACACTTTAAGTTTTAACAAATTCTTTTTTATAGGAATTCAACCCTTAAGGTCGTTTCGTTCAAGGGCCACTAACACAAGCTTTAAATTGGCGGTCTTGTACAGGTTCTTGTCACTCCAAAAGGTGAAGGACAATAACGATCGACACCAATAACTCTTAAATAAATAAAAGAGTGGCGCCAACGAAGCGACCTTAAAATTTCATTATTTCAAAACAAAATGACTTCTGGGCTATAATGTATGCGTAGATAAATGTTATCTGTAAATTTCCGCTTTGAATATCCGTAATACGCGTCGCATACACATAATACCTATTCTGACCTTATCTGTATGCGAGTATTGCACACAACTGTATATCTTATATAAATGTTAATAAAACAATTGCGTGAATGCGCAGCGTGGGTGATCGCATCAAGGCTTCGAACACCAAGATCACCCCCTGCGCGCAAACAATTACGGTATCGAAATGAGTAGGTTTCTAATTTCTTCTATTTGACGTAGAATAGCATTATAAGCAAAATGGAGGATTATGCACGATCAGTATGCGAAGACAGTGTGAGTATAGAAAAATCTTTGAATTTTTAGATGTTAACAAAAAAAAACAATTTACTGTACATGTAGCTAATTTAGCTAATGTGTGTATATGAAAACCATCATTATCAATTATTTAAACGATAATTTATCAACTTTGCTACTGTATAAAAGAAATTTTAGTGGTTGTATCATGTAAAATATGTACTTATCATTTATTTAATATTAATAAATAATCTGATTGCACTTTTTGTTCATATTGTGGTGCTCTATTTGTTGTTACTCTAATCGTTCTCCTTATTTAAAGGTTACGTTTAGTCGCCTGGTTCATTGCTATCCCTTTAGCCTTATTATATCCCTTTAGCCTTATTACTACCATTTAGCCTTATTATTACCCTTTAGCCTTATCATTACTCTTTAGCCTTATTATTACCCTTTAGCCTTATTATTACCCTTTAGCCTTATTATTACCCTTTAGCCTTATTATTACCCTTTAGCCTTATTATATCCCATTAGCCTTATAATTACCCTTTAGCCTTATTATATCCCTTTAGCCTTACTAATCACATTATTTTAAGGTTTAAGAATACGCAGGTGACACAATTTGTACATATAACAAGATTTCCATCAATCACGTTGCCGAACGCGGAATTAATTTGAACTAGTCTTCAAGTCGGTTAATGAAGTTACTTCTCTGCAAGGCATCGGCTTTTGCAGCTTGGTCGCTCTTTTCAATCCTTCAAACCATTGAGTCTGCAATTCTTCATTATCTTCAAAATCGTTCGACTCCCTCGATCGAGCAGAGAAAACTAGAGGTTGAAAAGGACTGAAGGATAGTAGTTGAGTAAGTGAGGGAAGCAGCAAACGAACATGGTATTAACAGAGTTGGGTACCCAATAAAGTGGTGATTAACAAAGCATAGAATGCGAGTAATGTCGTAGATAGGTAGCGTGAGAGGAAAAATGGAGTTTTGGAAGAATATAGTAAGGAAGAAACACAGAAAAACTGGGAGACTTTTAAAGGAACAAGGGCGAACAAAGATAGAGACGCGAAGGTTTTTTCAATAAATTTGCTGTTATCCTGAACGATTTTCCCAAAAAAATTGTATTGGGAGAACATAATTTCCTCCTTTGAGGTAGATTAAGATTTTGTTTTTTGGTAATATAGCAAAGGTTTGTAACTGAATGCAAGATTTTGCTTTTTTTTAGTTTACAAACCTCTGGATGCTAAATAAAATTTAATCCACACAAAAGAATGGTATCAATGAACTTAGAATTCCACTTAACAATTAAATCGCTTATCATTCATAAAAATATACAAATCTGTTCACGGAATAAACTTCTTCAGGAATGTTAAACTGACTGACCTTTGGAAAGGTATCATCAATTCGGAAAATTGGGTGGTAGCAACTTTTGTATCCCTCGGTAAATTTGACTACTCGTTGAATGTGAATTTATAAAGATTGTTAACGACTCGAATCCGGAACAAACATGGTCTTCAGGTTTTCCGAAATTTTGTTTACTCGCTGGAATAATGTACTATTGTTTCTAGTCTAGAACTTTTGATTGAGAAGTTTGATCGGAAAAGTACGAATTGTTTTGGATTCTACGCACCAAAATTAATAAGAAAAAGTGTTTTCCCGAGAAATTTTGGTGCAGTCGATTTTTGGTAAAAAAGGAAGGTTATAACACTGCCTTTTTTTTGGTCCGAAAAAAAAATTGTCTCAGATCGACCCGCAAAAAAATTTTCTTATAGAACGTGGCCTATAGAATCCATAATTTCAAACAGTTCCAAGATTGGGCTACTAGTTCAAAAGTTACAGCCCTTTGAATTTTTTTTCGAAATTGGTTTATAGTCTAGAACTTTTGATTGAGAAGTTTGATCGAAAAAGTACGAATTGTTTTGGATTCTACGCACCAAAATTAATAAAAAAAAGTGTTTTCCCGAGAAATTTTGGTGTAGTCGATTTTTGGTAGAAAAGGAAGGTATACACTGCCTTTTTTGAGCCCCGAAAAAAAATTGTCTCAGATCGACCCGGAAAACATTTTTTTTTAGAACGTGGCCTATAGAATCCATAATTTCAAACAGTTCCAAGATTGGGCTACTAGTTCAAAAGTTACAGCCCTTTGAATTTTTTTTCGAAATTGGTTTCTAGTCTATAACTTTTGATTGAGAAGTTTGATCGAAAAAGTACGAATTGTTTTGGATTCTACGCACCAAAATTAATAAGAAAAAGTGTTTTCCCGAGAAATTTTGGTGCAGTAGATTTTTGGTAAAAAAGGAAGGTTATACACTGCCTTTTTCTTGGCCCGAAAAAAAAATTGTCTCAGATCGACCCGGAAAAAAATTTTCTTATAGAACGTGGCCTGTAGAATCCATAATTTCAAACAGTTCCAAGATTGAGCTACTTGAATTAATACAGAAGTTAACCGCACAGAATTGCTTATTTTCCAATTTATTTAAAGTTTTGCGGGATCCCGCAAATACCGAGATCTCGCGGGATTAACATCTAACAATCCCGCAAATACCGGGATTGAGATTTTGCTGCAGGATTGCATTCCCTGAATGTTTCGCTATATGGAAATGTCAATTTTCCCCTTGTACACAGAGTTTGAACAGCCAGCAAAAACACTAATTAATCGTCTTTAAACTTTTTAGCCGTTTCCACCCATTGCGAATTGGATATGTTTCGTTCCAAGTACCACAATTCGGTGACGATAAGTGTTTCGGGAGTATGATTAATAAGCTACTACTTAGGTTTATTGTAATAATTCGATTTCACAAAAGGCATCTTCGTAACGATAGTATCGTACATCTTCTCGCGCACCTTCAGCTTCAGTTTCGTGCCAACTTTACTGAACTCCGTCGCGACGTATCCCATGGCGATGTTCTTCCCGAGCGACGGCGCTGGACATCCGGACGTCACGATGCCGATCTGCTTGTCGCCGTTGAAGATCAGCGCGTTGTGCCGGGCGGGCGGGCCCGATTCGAGCACGAACCCCACCCGCTTCTGCTTGCAGCCGCCCTTAATCTGACCCAGAATCTCCTTGGCTCCCGGGAAGTCCGCGCGTTCCCTTCGGCTTTTGGCGATCAGCCAGGTGAGGGTGGCCTCGATCGGCGTCGTGTGCTCGGTGATGTCGTTGCCGTAGAGGCACAGTCCGGCTTCCAGTCTGAAAACCAAGCGTTAGCTTAGTGGGAATTGAGCATTGGCGAAACCTAAGCGAGTCCCTGGCGCCTAGGCCGGCTAGTCGAACCGCGCTGTTTTGCATGATCGTCCTGACGACCTCCACGACTCTTTTAGACGGTATGGAAATCTCGAAACCGTCTTCGCCGGTGTAGCCACACCTGGTGATCCTGCAACCGTCGACGCCGCCAACGGTGGCCAAGGTAGAATTCATGAAAAACAACTCGGACAAATTTACGTCGGCAATCTCCTGAAGAGCTTGAGAAGCTTTTGGTCCCTGAAGCGCAACGAGGGAGCGCTCCGAGGGATCGTAGAATCGCACGTTGATGTCGCTATCGATGTCCAGCTTCTTAAAACTTTGCTAAAAGCAGCTCGTCTTAGCCGCGAAATTGGTTTGGTAGGCGACTTACAAATGCGTTCATTATGAGTTTCTGGTCCTGTTCTTTGCGGTTGGCGTTGGAGACGATGTAGAGGTGGTGGTCGTTGACTTTCGTCACGATTAAGTCGTCCAAAATTCCGCCACGTTCATTCGTGAAGACTGTCAACGTGGCCGCGCCCTCCTTCAGTCCGGCTATGTCGGCGGTACAGAGCTCCTCGAAGAAGTTCACGCACTGCTTACCTGAGGAGGTAATCGACAATTGCGGCAACAATAAACGGGGGACGTACCTGTGACTTCGGTCTGTAACATGTGAGAGACGTCGAAGAGAGAGGCATTTTCTCTGGTGTGTACGTGAGAGTTGGTGATGCTGAGATCGTTGTACTGAACCGGTAGGTAATAACCGGCGAAGTTTACCATTTTTCCACCCTGCTCCACGTGCAACTTGTACAAGGCGGTCGCGATGGCACTTTTGGTCTCGGTAGAGTATCTGGCGCACGAAGCCGTACACTTGATCAGCCTTCTTAACAGCATTTTTACAAACAATATGGCCAGTTTTCGTTGGTGATGTTTCCATGTTCGTTTTATAATCAACAGGTCGAAGGTCCCACGATAAGGAAGTCAATCTGTACTGCGTTATTAGCTAACTTTGTTTAATCTGTGACGACGCGATATTGCAACGAATTCAAATGATGAAATCCGAAACGAAACCCGCCTTATCGGCACGACAATGATGCAGTAGCGATAAAATGCGAGGGAAAGGGGAGAAAATTAAGTGCTTGATGTTGGCGAAGGAAATACCTACTGAAATACGAAGCAAAGATAAAGATGGAAAAATATCCAAGGGAAGCGAGAAAAAGACACCAAAGGGGTGGGGGGAAGACTTCAAATAGAAGAAGGATCGAAAGAAATTCAGAAAAAGCGCGAACTGCCGGAGAGGCACGAAGAAGTCGTGAAGTGAGCTCGAAGGAGCCAAGAAACAAGCTCGATGGAGAAGGCTCCAAAGAGTCATAAAGGACACCAGAATGAAGAAAAAGAAATCTAGAAGGAGAGGTATGAAGAATCTCAAACTTATAGTGAAGAAATATCGAAAAAGACGAGAAGAAACAGGCGTAAAGTAAGCTCGAAGGAGGCGAGTAGGATAAATGAAAAAGGGCCGAAAGCACTACGGAGAAATCTAAAAAACCACCCGTAAAAAAATCTCAAAGGAGTTGTGAAGCAGTCTTGAAAGAGGTGTGATGGCTCGAAGGAGGCGTAGAGAAAGCTTCAAGAAAAATTGAAGAATGCTAGGAAACGTGAAGAAAGTTCGAAGGAAGCGTGAGGAAGGCTTGAGAAGGAAAGGAAGTCGAAAAAAACCTCAAGAGGCGTGAAAAAAAGAAGGACATGTACAGAAATCTCCAAGGTGGTGTGATGAAAACCGGAAGAAGGGGAAGGAGAAGTGCAAAACGGTAAAAGGGAGGTACATACAAAACTCTAAGGTTCTAAGAAGACCTGAAATGCCGAAGGAAGCGTAAAGAGCTTTGAAGTGCGAAGAAGACGTGGAAAAATCTCGAAGGAGGCATGAAGAAATCTGAAAGGAGTAATAAAAAAATCTTGACAACTTGAGGGAGATGTGAATAAGGGCCGAAGAAAGCAGAGAAATCTGAAAAAAAAGGGGAAGGATGTGTCAAGGGACGTGAAGAACTTCTGAGGGAAGCGTAAAGATTTAAAGGAGTCATGTAGAAGGCTCAAAGTAGTCGTGAAGAAAGCTCGAAGGTATTGTAAACAAAATGCTGAAAGGGACATGATGACATCTTGAAGTAAGCGTGAAGAAGCCTCACTGGAGATGAGAAGGCTCGAAAGAAAAATCTCGTGTTAAGGATTTTGAAGGAAAAATAAAGAGGTACGAAGAAAGCCCAAAGGAAGTCTCCAGAAACACACGAAGAAACCCCGTAAGAGATGTGACAAGGTCGAAGGAAACATGAAGAAATCTAAAAAAATGTTACGCAAAGTGTCGCGAAAACTACTGGAGGCGTGAAGAAAAAGACTCTACAGAAGGCGCGAAAAAGGGTAGAAAGTCTAAAGAGGGCGCTGGAGGACAGCGTGTCAAAGTAGGCGTAAAATAATCTCAAAGGAGGAGTGAACAAATCTCCAAGGGGGTCCGAAGAAAACTCGAAGGGGGCTTGAAAAATAGTTGCAAACTAGAAAAAGACGTGAAGAACTCACAAAGAAATCTAAAATAAGGCGTGAAAAAATTTCGAAAGACTCCAGAGCCGTGAAGAAGACTTAAGCGAAGCGTGGGAAAATCTCAAAGGGGACGTGATAAGCAATGGTCGAAAGGCGTGAAGAAGTGTCGAAAAAGACATCAAGAAAAAAAAAGCCGAAAATTTATGATGTGATCGAAGATTGGGTGAATAAACTCGAAGGAAGCACGAGGAAAAGATCAAGAAAATTGGAAAAAGGAGTGAGCAACCTTTGGAGGAGAGATCAAGAAGACTCGTATAAAGCGTGAGAGAGGGATCGAATGATGTGTAAAGATGGAACGACGGAAGCATAAAGAAGAAGCGCAGAAGGCATTGGCGTAAAGAAGGTTCAAAAGAAGCGCGAGGAAGACTCGAAAGAATTGGAATGAAGCTTCGAACGAGAAGCGAAGAAGGTTAGAAGGAGGAATATCTAAAAACTTGAAGCAAGCGTGGACTCTCGAAGGAAGAATGAAGAAATTTAGAATTAAAAATTGTTAAATGAAGCCTGAAGGAATTTCCAACCTAAATAAAAAATCTCTAAGGAGATGAGAAGAGGGCGTCAAGGAATACCAAAGGGTGCGTGAAAAAGACTCGACGGATACGTGAAGAACGCCGTAGAAAGTGTAGAAAAAGTTCGATTGAGGAGGCAAAAGAAATATACTAGACGGCGCGAAAAAGGGGCGAAGAAAGGTTGAAACGATGAAAACTGAAAGTTGCTCATATTCACGGGGAACCCAGCGGGATTGATTCTGTTAAATGCCGTTTGGTCTGACGAATACGCCGGCACCAAATCAAGTTGTAAAGAAGCGCGAAGAAGGTGATCAAGAAGACAGAGATGGCAAAAAGTTTCAACGGAGATGTGGAGACACAAAAGAAGCGTGAAGAAAGGAAGACGTGAAAAAGGTTGCAGAAGTCTCGAAGGATGCGCGAAGTAGACTCGACGCGGAGGAATGAAGAAGTAGGGAAATCCTCAAGGCGCGTGAAGAATTATCCTGCGTGTCGGGTCGAAGGGATATCGTGCAGAACGCTCGAAGGAGGCCACATAGAATGTTCGAAGGAGACGGCAAGATTGCCCAAAGGGAACCTGGAAAATCACGAGTGAGGTGTAAATACGACTCCAAAGAGGCATGCAGAAGTGTCGAAGGCGGCCTGAAAAAGGGTAGAAGTTGCAGAGAAGGACGCTCGGAGGACACAAACAGTAAGTGTCAAAGGAGACGTGAAGAACAATAAACGGACGCGTAAAGAAATCAGGAAGGAGGGGTGACGAAAAGATCAAGAAAACTCGAGAGGGTGAGCAAGGCTTGAGGAGAGATTAAGAAAACTCGAATAAAGTGAAACGATGGCTCGAAGGAAGCTGGAAGAAGACACAAAGGAGCAGTGCAGACGACCACAAGGAGATTTAAATGATGTAGCCAGAAACTTCGAAGTAGGCGTGAAAAATGACGGTAGAAAGTATGAAGAAATCTAAAATAAAGGCAAAGGAAGCGTGGGAAAATCTCGAAGGGGGTGTGATTAAACCTCGAAGAGCGTAAAAGAAACTCGAAGGAGGCACAAAGACTCAAAAGGAGCGTAAAGAAACGAAGAAGCGAAAAAAAGGAAGGAAGAATAAAGGAGAAGTGCAGAAGGCTATAGAGGGTGACGTGAGGAAAATTCAAAAGAAGCGCGAGGAAGACTTGAAGAAGGCGCGGAAGTGACAAAAAGCTTGGAACGAGGAGTGAAGAAGGATCGAAGGAAAAAATTAAAAATTGTTAAATGAAGCAAGAAGTCTAAAGAGACGTGAAGGCGTCAAGACATACCCAAAAGTGGGTGAAAAATACTCGACGGATACGTGAAGAACGCCGAAGAATGATGAGGCACACAGAAATATCCGGAAAGTCGTGAAAAAGGAGAAATCTAGACGGCGCGAAGATGCGTAAAAAGACCAAAAAGACTGAAGGAGGCATGAAGAAGGGTTGAAGAAAACGCGAAACGGACGTGAACAGGATTCCAAAAAGGCGTGAAAGATTCGGTGCAGACGTGGGGTTGATGATCCCATAGGGTAAAATGGCGGTGCTATCATTGTAAGTTTGGCCTAAAAGGAGAATATGACGCCTATATTACAGTTTTGATGGAACTAGCAATTACGGGATACCCTAATTGTCGAAAATGGGACACCCTGTACTTGGAAGACGATGACGAAAAAGCCTGTACGAGATGAAAAATAGACAACTCGATTTTTGCGATGCGTATGAAACCCATTTATTTGCGAATTTTAAAATAGAGCAACAGCGAAACTCACCGTCGGACTCAAATTAATTTAATATTTCTACCAAATTTTCACGTAATTACTGTTTATATCGAGTGATGTGAAACAGATACAACACAAAGTTGCCCATATTCACGGGGAACCCAGCGAGATTGATTTGTGTGAAATGCCGTTTGGTCTGGCGAATGCGCCGGACCAAATCAGGTTCTAAAGAAGCGTGGCGGTGATCAAGAGGACTCGAAGGAGGTGGCAAAATGCTCGTGAAGAAATCTCAAAAGATACACGGACTCAAAAGCGTAAATAAAAGTAAGACGTTGAGGACGGGTAAAGGACACGTAGAGAAATCTCGAAGGCGCGTGAAGAAATTACACCTGTTACTTTTTTGCCGGACTGTGCAATTGCGGATACCTCGTGTCGAAAATGGGACACACTGTACATGGAAGACGAGACAAAAAGTGCCAGTTAAGACTGAATGAGGACACGAAAAACGAGTGAAAACTAGACAATTCGATTTCTGCGATCCACCAAACTGTTTTTTTTGAGAATTTAAAAATGGACAAGAGCGAAACTCACTGCGGGACTTCGTTCCATTTAATATTTCTAGCAGCTGTGGATATCAAGCGATGTGAACCAGATGTAACACAAAGTCGCTCTTATTTACAGAGAACCCAGCGAGATTGTGTGCAATGCCGTTTGGTCTGACGAACACGTCGGCACCAAAGCAAAATACTCGTGACGTAAACTTTTATTTTAATTTACAAAATAATGAGATTATAAATTATATAACAGAGATGTTACAAACTCTTAACCTTAATCGAGCTTTACGCGACGTAACTGTACTCCTCGCTCGAATGCGGCGTCCTTTCTATATATTGTTTATCTATTAAAGCCTCTATACATTTCTTTATCATCGGTATACTCGGCGCGAATGATACTTTCGATTGCGCGCACACCTGCAATACAAACGGAATTAAGCGGTAGAGTCTTGAGAGACTCACTTCCTGAATAAGGGCGTTGTGCTTTAAAACTTTCCTAGATTTCATTATTCTAACTATGGCGGCTTGAAGGTACAACTTGCGGTCCTCCTCGACGGAGTTCATTGTGTGCTCGACCTCTTGCGGGGTCTCCTTCTGGACGGCCGCCGTGATCCGAAACCTCGTACGCTTGTTTGAATATTCGGTATTCAATCGTAGCGAGGTGTTCGAGCTCAGCTCCTGCAAGGCTCGTTTAGTTTACAATCAAAGCGGCGACGGCGGAATTACCTCGGTGTCGGCAAGTAGAAATTTACATTCGACTAGACTATTTGCGTACCTCTGTATCTGTTCGTTATTTAACTGGAGGGTGTCGCGGATTTCGCCGCACGTCAACGAGTTCGTCGTCTCGAACATAAGCAGTATAGCCATTTGGAACGTCTGCATCGTTATCAAGTAGGGCTTCTTTAGGTAGCCTAGGCGCAGTTCCGCTTGGCACAGATGGTGCAGCCACGTCAGTTTACGCCCGTTGAAGCGTTTGTGATAGAAGGACTCGAACTGCAACAGTGTCGGTTTGAGAAAAGTGGCGGGACTGGTCGGTTTACCATCTGTACGCTTCGCTCGAGCTGTTGGGGAAGCGCAAATGAGGTGACGTTGGACTGGCCGAAAGGCCACGCGCCGGCCTGCAGCACGTGAATGTTAAACGTGATACCAAGATCGATGCTGTCATTCTTGAGGAAGGTGCTGAAGCGATTGTTTAGATCGCCGCTTAACGACATGTCGGTGAACATGCGATGGAGCTTGTTCGTGAACTCGTACCCGCACGCCTGCTTTAGCCTGCAATTAAACCACTGAGAGGCGCTGACGGCCCGATCTAGTTACCTATTGATCATCGCCTCCTCAGCGTCCATACTCTGCGTCTGCTGGTGTATCAGCCGTTTCGCCAGCATCCGCGAGTAGAACTTTTGAAAAATATCCTTATCGTCGATGTATTTGAAGATGATGATACTCTGAGACAGCTTCTCGTCGACTTCCGACTCAGAAATACCCTTAGTAGACTTCTTGAGCAACGTATCACAGTACTTGGCTAATAATTCGGGACTCCTCGACGGACTTCGCCCGTCGCTCGGCCGATAATTTATAACGGAACTACACGCCTTATCTAAAGCACCCATGAAATTTTGATCACCCTTATACACCTCCTGAATTAACTGCCTGTACTTCTTGTACACCTCCAGAAGATTCTCGACGAAGTGTATGTGCACGCTCTCCCCTTGCAAGTTATTTACAGCCTGCGTTAAACGGCGGTTAGAAAGAGAGGTTGCGACCAATCGTATCGTTTGCACTTACAACCAATCCCTGAGATTTTATGTGATCCAGGACCGTCTCGACGAGAACGCTCATCGCGTTGGGAACGCTTTTAAGTAGATTGTACATGTTGGAGAGGTCCTGCTTACGTTCGCCCTGCACCATGTTTTTACACTCGCTGTACAAAAATAGCAGGTGCTCGGCGACCATGTGGGTCTCGCACCGTTGCGTTATCTGCAAAAAAAAAGGTACGCGTGCGATACAACGAGCGCCATCGTAAGTGCGAAGTTAGCAATGGCGCGCTTCGTTGTGCAATAACAGAAAACAACGTGGAGGGGGAGGGGGCGGGGGGATTTCGTAGTTGAAAGACATATAGAAAAATGTTTATGACAACAGTTTCTTCTTATTCAAAATAAGTATACAGAATCAGACCTAACCTCATTGTTTAAATGGAACACCCTGTATATTTTAATCTAAAAAAGTACAATGTTCAATTCTCTTTTCAAAAGTATAGCACACATAGGATGACATTCAAAAAAGGTTAAAGTGATTAAAAAATAAAAAAAAATATTACAAGAGTTTTTAAAAATTAAAAAAAGGGCCACGATTCAAAAAATTTCAAAAACAATTTTCGAAATTTTTAAAAATCTTTTTGAATTAATATTGATTATTTCAGTATTGCAGTTGTTTTATTTTTAACAAATATTTAATTAAAAAATTTTTTTTAATCTGTGAATCGATCTTGGTTTTGAATTTTTATTTAAACATCTTTTTTGAATCTCTTTTGTTTAGTGTTACATTTTTGAAAAGAGAATTTAATATGTCATCTTTTTAGATTAAAATATACAGGATGTTCCATTTAAAGATATGAGATTAGGTCCAACAACTTTTTTACCTGGTCCCGCTATGTTATCTAACAATTACGGAGATTTGGTATAAAAGTGTCGAAAATAGGACACCCTGTGCGGATCGTTTGAAGAGGGCGTGAGGAAGGGTTGAATCCAGCAAAAGGGAAGCTTCAAAGGACAAGAAGAACCTTTATAGATAACGTGGAAAAAACGTAACGAAAATATGAAGTACCTATGTCACCAGATTTTGAAATAGAAGAACCGAAGTGGCCGAACTACAATTAGTCCCAAAAATTTTAAATATTTTTGAAGTTTTTGTCACAACCAGACCTCGTTAATTGGCACATCCTGTATAATTTGTCGAAAAACAAGATTGACCCAAATGAGAATCAATTTTTATCAAACCACATCCTCCACCATTGCTAATTTCGCACGGTCGGCGAAAAACAAACCTTTGGCAGCGAGCTCGGATGTAAAAACTTCCTAGCTCGGAACAGCTCCTCGTCGATTTTCGCGATCACCTTCTCCATATACAAACTGACATCCTTACTTTCCAAAAGGCGAGCGGCGTCGCGTTTGAAATGCTCCCCGCTCGAGTTCAGGAAGGGCTCCTCGAAGAGCTCCTGGTAAAGCTGCAGTTGACCTTTCTTCTTGTACGTTTGCACCTCGACAAAACTTAATATTGTGCCTTTAACGGCGTCGATCGGTAGAGTTGTGGTGTGATAGAGGCGATCTTCGTCGATCGCTTCCAGTAGCAACTTCACCAGCTTGTAGCCTAAGGGGGAGATCATGCCCGATCGCCAAATTTCCAACGCCAGCTCGCCGATCTCCATTTGTTCGCCTGAAACGTAATAAAAAAGACGTAGCAAAGAGATTCTCTCACTTAAACTTTTGAATCAGGAGAATATAATGAGCGAGGAAGCATCTCTGCTCCTAATACACAGATATGCGACAAAAAATTGGTAAATTTTCTTCGGGCACCAGGAGAACATAAGAAACCAGAACCTTGTCAGATTAAAAAAGAATGTTTCAATAATTTATTTTCACCGACACTTTTGTATCAGGAGAATATTAGGAGCGAGGAAGTATCTCTACTCCTAATACATAGAAATCTGCCAAAAAATTGGTAAATTTGCTCTGGTTATCAGGAAAACTTACTAAACGAGGCTTCACTACATTAAAAAAATGTTTAAACAATATATTTGCACTTAAACTTTTGCATTAGGAGAGTATAATGAGCGATGAAGTATCTCTGCTCCTAATACATACAAATCTGCCAAAAAATTGGTGAATTTGCTTTGGTTACCAGGAGAACATAAACGATGTTTCACTAAACCAAAAAATATGTTTAAACAATTTATTTTCACTTAAACTTTTGCATGAGGAGAATATAATGAGCGAAGAAATATCTCTGCTCTCGATACCCAGAAATCCGAGAGAAAATTGGTAAATTTGCTATTATTACCAGGAGAATATAATAAACAAGACCTTCTTTTGACTAAAAGAGAATATTACAACAATTTATTCTCACTGAAACTCTTTCATCAGGAGAAAATAATGAGCGAGGAAGTATCTCTGCTCCTAATACATACAAATCTGTCAAAAAAATTGACAAATTTACCTTCTCTAAGCTAAAAAAGAACGTTTCAACAATTTCTTTTCACTGAAGCTTGTGCATCAGTAGAATATAATGAGCAAGGTAGTATCTCTGCTCCTAATACATAGAAATCCGACAAAAAAAATTGGTAAATTTGCGCTGGTTACAAGGAGAATATAATAAACTAGACCTTCTCCAGACTAAAAAAGAATGTTCCAATAATTTATTTTCATAGACACGTTTGTATCAGGAGAATATACTGAGCGAGAAAGTATCTCAGCTCCTAATACATAGAAATCCGACAAAAAATTGGTAAATTTGCGCTGGTTACCAGGAGAACATAATAAAGAAGACCTTCTGTACACTAAAAGGGAATGTTTAAACAATTTATTTTCACTTAATCTTTCGAATCAGGAGAATATAATGAGCAGGAAAGTATCTCTGCTCCTAACACATAGAAATCCGTCAAAAGAATTGGTAAATTTGCTCTGGTTACCAGGAGAACATAATAAACCAGACCTTCTCTAGGTTAAAAAAGAATGTTTAAACAATTTATTTTCACTTAAACTTTGTATTAGTAGAATATAATGAGCGAGGGCGTATCTCTGCTCCTAATACATTATTATTATTAAATCCAACAAAAAATTGATAAATTTGCTCCGGTCACCAGGATAACATAATAAATCAGACCTTCGCTAGACTAAAAAATAATGTTTCAAGAATTTATTTTCACCGACACTTTTGTATCAGGAGAATATAATGAGTGAGGAAGTATCTCTGCTCCTAATACATAGAAATTCGACACAAAAATTAGTACATTTATTCTGGTTATCAGGTAAACATAACGAACCAGACCTCTAGACTAAAAAACAATGTTTCAAGAATTTATTTTCATTAACACTTTTGTATCAGGAGGATATAATGCGCGAGGAAGTATCTCTGCTATTTTTAGCAATTTATTCTCACTTGAACTTTGGGATCAGGAAAATTTAATGAGCGAGAAAGTTTCTCTGCTCCTAATATACAAAAATCCGTCAAAAAAGTTGGTAAATTTGCTTTGGCTACCAGGTGACCATAACATACCAGACCACTAGACTAAAAAACAATGTTTCAATAATTTATTTTCACTTAAACTTTTGGATCAGGAGGACATAATGAGAGAGGACCTATCTCTGCTCCTAATACATACAAATCTGTCAAAAAAATTGCCAAATTTACCTCCTCTAGGCTAAAAAAGAATGTTTCAACAATTTATTTTCACTGAAGCTTGTGCATCAGTAGAATATATGAGCGAGGAAGTATCTCTGCTCCTAATACACAGAAATCCAACAAAAAATTGATAAATTTGCTCCGGTTACCAGAACATAATAAACCACACCTTCCCTAGACTAAAAAAGAATGTTTCAAGAATTTATTTTCATTGACACTTTTGTATCAGGAGAATATAATGAGCGAGGAAGTGTCTCTGCTCCTAATACATAGAAATCCGACACAAAAATTGGTAAATTTGTTCTGGTTATCAGGTGAACATAACGAACCAGACCTCTAGACTAAAAAACAATGTTTCAACAATTTATTTTCACTTAAACTTTCGGATCAGAAGAACATAATGAGCGAGAAAGTATCTCTGCTCCTAATACATGCAAATCAGTCAAAAAAATTGGCAAATTTACCTTCTCTAGGGTAAAAAATAATGTTTCAACAATTTATTTTCACTGAAACTTTCAGACCAGGAGAACATACTGAGCGAGGAAGTATCTCTGCTCCTAATACATAGAAATTCGTCAAAGAAATTAGAAAGTTTGCCCAGGTTACCAGAAGAACATAGTAAACCAGACCTTTTCTAGACTAAAAATGAATGATTCAACATTTTATTTTCATTCACACTTTTGTATCAGGAGGATATAATGTGCGAGGAAGTATCTCTGCTGTTTTTAGCAATTTATTCTCACTTAAGCTTTCGGATCAGGAAAATTTAATGAGCGAGAAAGTTTCTCTGCTCCTAATATTCAAAAATCCGTCAAAAAAATCGGTAAATTTGCTTTGGCTACCAGGAGAACATAATAAACCAGATCTCTAGACTAAAAAAAAAATGTTACAATAATTTATTTTCACCGACACTTTTATCTCTGCTCCTAATACATAGAAATCCGTCCAAAAAATTGGTAAATTTGCTCTGTTTAATAAACCAGACTTTCTCTAGGCTAAAAATGAATGTTTAAACAATTTATTTTCACTTAAACTTTTGCATCAGGAGAATATAATGAGCGAGGAAGTATCTCTGCTCCTAACACACAGAAATCCAACAAAGATTGAAAAATTTGCTCTGGTTACCAGGAGAACATAATAAACTAGACCTTCTCTATACTAAAAAAGAGTGTTACAATAATTTATTTTCACTGATACTTTTGTATCGGGAGAATATAATGAGCGAGGAAATAGCCCCACTCCTAATACATAGGAATCTGTCAAAAAATTGGTAAATTTGCTCTGGTTAGCAGGAGAACATTTCCAAAAGGTGCATGGAAATTGCCTCACGATTCTACTTTTTACACTACAGCGATAGGTGTATTACCTGCGGTATCCGAGCCACCGTAAATGATTTCGGCATCTGACAGTTTTTGTGTTTTGATGTGCTGTTGGTTGAGGTAAAGGTAGAGGCTGTGCAGATACCTCGCCCCTATCGAATAGTCCGTCCAATACTTAAAATAATTCTTAACAAGGTGCGCGTCGCCGCCCTCTAAAACCTCATTCAGGAGCTTAGCCACGTGGTTCGTTAGGTACAATTTGGTCTCGGCGTATAGACGGTCGGCCATCGGTTCCGGGTGGGCGACGCACAGCGAGTACACGTCTCTGAAAGGTAAACACAACAATTGCACAAAAACTGCGAGTGTTTACTTACGAAAACCTGTCATTCCAGACCGGTCGGGGTACGTGCGCCAGAGTGATCACCCCGTGAATCGTCTCCTGCAGTAACGTCCATGTCGCGTTGAAATCGACAGTGCGCGGTTTGAGGGACATAATTCAAATAATGGAAAACGAAAAAAGATGATTAGCAAAATCTAAAAATAAACCCCTTAGTATTTGCACTAATTTTAAATACGCAAAGTTTACCTTTTGAGTACGTACTTTTGGCAACCAGCACCAATTTCGTCTTGTAAATCGATATAAAGGTTGTATAAGGAATATTTGCGTGCTTTTTCGCAAATCATAAATCAAGGCGATTTTTTCTTTTATTTACCCGTGAGAAATTCGTGCAGCGAGTTCGACATTTCTGTAAAATTCTCAAAAACCTCAATTCCAAATTTATGTCAAATGTGAACGTTTATTGGTACAACTTTTTCTCGTTGGACCTAATTCGTAGCGCGGCTTTTATTATACAGGATGTAACAAACAAGAGTATAAACAAAATTCATTGATACAGAGAAGGAAAAACATCATCATGAAGAAGAATTTGCGTTCATCGATAGTAGTCATCAAAGTACCGAGATCTCCAATGATCTTGCGAAAAAATTTGGACACAATATTGTTTTCTGTTCTGAACCCCATTTTATTTCGCACTCCGCGTCCCAGTTTTAATAAGAATGACATAAATTCAGTACGGGAAATTTGTAAAATAACACACTTCATGCTTAACACCAATTGCATATTTATTTTGCAAATAATAATAATAGAAAAATAATAGATATCACTAACAAAAAAGAAATCACATTGTAAGCACCCTCGTTAGAATTATTAAGTACCATCTGAAAATGAAACCGGTTCAGTTATTTTGTGCTCAAGTTGCCCTGCAGCAGTTAGTCAGAATCGCGTCCCACCAGAGTAATCTCATCTTCAGCCAAGGCGAGACGTTTGTAAGTCGGATTGTAGACGAGATACAACACCAGCAAACCGAACGCCAGCAGAATCACACCCATGAAGTTGACCAAAGTAGCCTCGCTGCCCAACTGGTTATAGTCGGGTCTGAAAATCTGAAGTGACTACTGGGTTAGCTAACGCGGTGGTACGTACATGGAAAAAATGGCTTTTTCTGCAAATCCCAGGAGGGCAGTCACAATTACCATTGTAAAGATGGCGGCACCGAAGAACGTATGAAACGGCAGGTAGCAGGTCCGTATGGTTTTCGACAGCCCCGGAAAGAGAAACGTGACAAATCCGCTCGCGAACTGGTAGGTGAAGAGGATCACAGTGACGAGTCCGATCCAAGAGTGCAGCGAGTAGAGATTTGGCATTGGCGGTTTGGCGTAGTTGTGCGAGTCAAAAACCGCCTTCAACGCTATCACGGATAGAATAAACGCCAGACAGTGTAAAGTCGCGTGGGTCAGCTTGAGCACCTTCTTCTTCGCGTACCGTGCGATGCGGAACGTTAAAATTGCTGTAAGTCCAGGATTAAACTTGCGTAGGGCTATGGTGGCGGTTTACATTGGGCATAAATGAATACCAGTCCGAGGATCATCAGCATGGGGTGCCAGTAGAATTCCTGGCTCGGGTCCTTCACACTAAACCCGTTACGGAAGTGAGTGATCCACACCAGCGTCAGCACGATTAGTAAGACCCCCAGGCCCGAGGTAACCCCGTAGAGTACACTAAATTGCTTCTGCAGACGGTGATCGGCTTCGGCCTCCATTCTGTCCACCAGATTCCTACAACAAAACAATTATGACCACTAGTTCAAAGTCCATATGCCGAAGACCTCAGAAAGTTCACTCTCTCTTCGTGCGGACCGCCGGCGAGTTCGTCCTCAGAATCTGAACTCATGAGCAACAGGTCAAAAATCAATGAAGCGGGTACACCCCCACCTGCGTTCACCAGACTCGATGTGGGGTATCGTCTAATCCTTGTTTTGTTCGTAGGAGAAAAGTCGGTCGTTTGCGGTTGGCATTTTATCTAATCTCGAAAGTGCCCGTAAGTGAACCGTAAACATAACCTCACTTTCACCAGCACCTGCGGTATGGAGTCGTAAAGTTCGCAGGCGATGAACGCGTTAGGTTTAAGTTTACTGGTTAAAATGGGGTGTTTTTGTAGTCGGGAGGTGCTCTACGTAAACAACACGCGATACGTAATCAGGGAGAAGCTGGGCGAAGGGTAAGTCAACCCCCGAACATATCTTTTAGTAACGCTTTGCTAGTTCACTATCTGTAGGTAGCAAGACGAGTAAACTTTGTCAGAACCACCCCAAATGTAACAAGCTTCTGCTGCGAGGAATGTTGGCTTTTAGACAGATCAGGGGTGAATCGGCAACCAGCACAGTCTACAATTAGGATGTGCACCAAATCCCGCATAAAGTGCAGATGTTTCTTTGCAATTTTAACGAATATATCGAAGTGTAGGTGCAAGCTGCAAGGATACCTTTTTATTTGTATCATAGAGGAGGGGAGGAGGCTGGGACAGGAACCGTAGATATTAAAAGTCCTGTTAGAATATTTCTTAGGCTGCAAGCAATATTACCCCCAAAAATCCCCTCCCCCGGCATAGCGATTTTCATGCGCTCAAGCACGATAGTGCAGATGTTATGGTATAATGTACAGAGGCTGATTCTCAGTAGTGTGCAGTGCTGGCAAGGTTTTCTTCATGAGCACAAGTAGATTTAGACGAAGCCTCCCCCCCCCCCCCCACATTAACAAGAGATGCGTAGAAGTGGCACGGTTGTAGTGCAACATGTAGAGAATGTTTGTCAGTGTGCTTCAAAGTTACATAACTGTTTACTTACTGTTGGGGGGATCGCCAACCACCCCCCTCCCCTTCAGTTACAATTTTAGTATGTATGGTAAAGCAATAGGTAGAAAAGTGGCAATATATTTTTTTGTTTTTCTTTTGTAGCATAGCGGAGGAAGATCACACTACCCCCCCACCCCCCCCCGCCACCCACTGCCGTAAAGAAATTACAACCTCCCCTCCCCCCAATTAAAAGGTGGTTCACAGAACTGCCGACCAGAACATGCAGAGGGTGTTTTTGTGTGCGACATAGAATGTCTTTTTCACTTTTTCTTGGAGGAAAGTGCGTAGGAAGCTAAATCCCCCCCTCCATATAGTTAGTAGATTAATGTGCACATAGATCCCCCGGTTAGGAATTTCGTGTAACTGCTAATTTTGTGGGTCAATGCTGCAAACAATGTTGCTTTGTGGTGAGAATATTATCACATTCCGCCCCCCCCCCCCTCATGTAGAAGGGCAAATGTCGGGCCGCAATTCCGCCCCCCCCCCCTCATGTAGAAGTGCAAATGTCGTGCCGCAATGCGCAGAGAGTAAGGTTCTGCCTCAAAACGTTCAGCTCTAAGGACTCGCCTTTCCTCGACTCTTTCCAAAATCATGGTGTTAATGATCACCAATACCAAATCGGCTGGGGGTGTGGGGGTCTGAGGAGGATATTACAATACCTCTAAAAAAAACTTTTCCTTGACTCTTTCCAAAAATCATGGTGCTAAGGATCAATAACACCAAACCGGGCTAAAAGAGAACACAATGTCCCCCCTACAACTCTCATACAATTTTCGTATCCTGGGGGGTATTCCCCCAGGAAAGGGGCATGGAATACCACTCAGGAAAGAGAATAAATTACTCTACATTAGTCATAAGACCCTCGTCACGCGACGGCCTGCGTGGGGCGGAGGCGGGGGGATATGCAAAGGGAGTGTTTATCTGGGTGGTGAAAGAATGTTTTTTTCTGTTTCTTGGTGGTGACACTAATTAGAATATCCCTCCATCCCCAGAACACATTTCCACACAACTGTCGTAAGAGCGTTGTATTCCAGACTCATATGAAACGAGGGGGGGGGAGGCGCATGGGAGTGCCCCCCGGAAAAAGAACAAATTTTCCTACAACTAATAAAAGTCTCTTGTATAGCGACGGAGGGGGTGGGGTGTCCCAGAGCCTGCGATTCTTTCCAAAAATCAAGGTGCTAAGGATGAAATGAATAATACCAAACGGGGGGGGGGGGCCATCGGGGGGTATGTAGGCGCCCAGGGCAATGCTTTGATCGCCCCCCCCCCTGGTAAAACTCGAAAACTTGTAGTTTTGTTCGTTCCAGTTTTGGTTTGGGGGGGGGGGGGGGGGGATGATACTCTAGCTCTTTAGAGCCACTTTATTATTCACCACCTATGGACCCGCCGCGGTGCTGTGTCATACATGTTTTTGTGGGTGGTGAAAGAGTGTTGTTTTGATTTTGGTTTCTTGGTGGTGAAACGAATTAGACCATTGCCCTCCCCCCTCTTCCCCATGGTTTTGCGACGTAACTAGTTAGACACCCCCCCCCCCCCCCCCATAAATTAAGCCGATGTGGTGCAACGTGCAGTGAGTATTTCGTAGTGTTACATTAAAGTGTTTTTGTTGTGTTTTTACTGTTGGGAACAGGGGTTTGAAATCCACCCCTCCACCATAGAGTTAGTATATTCGCGCGTGCTGAAAATTGTCAATATTGAGCACTGAGAGTATTACCAATAAAGGTCTCTTTGCTGATTTTTTGTGTGTTGGGTACACACTTATCCCCTCCCTCTCCTCTCCACACGTACAATTAAGAAATTCGTGTAATTTCCAAGGTTGCGATGCAATGCACATATACAGTTACTTACAATGTTGCCTTTTTCACTCTATTCACAGAAGAAGGGAACGCGGTGTTTAATCGCCTCCCCCTTGTGTTTTTTATTGTCGCGAACAAAAAGGTTGAAATCTACCCCTCCACCCTCTACCATAGAGTTAGAATACACCCTCCTTGCTCCCATACGTTTAAGAGATTCATAGAGAGCATTTTCAGCGTGCAGTCAATGTTTTCTTTTTAAGTTCTTCTTACGGTTGGGACCATGTTGCATGTTGTCAATCCCCCCCCCCCCCCCCCCCGCGCATTGAAAAGAGTAGAATTGCGTTTTTCATTTTTCTTTGTTTTGTGTTGGCTCTTTTCTGACGGAGAGTGAGGCTGAATCGTCCACCACCCCCCTTTATAATGGTCCCTCGCGGAGGATATGCTACATAGCACGTTATTTTATTAACTTTTTCCAAAGGGGAAAATTCTCCCCCCCTCCCCCTCCTCTGCCCCCCGTTCTGCCTCAAAGTGTTCAGGTGTAAGGACTCTTTACAAAACGGATGGTGGTAAGGATCAACAATACCAAACCGGGGGGTTTGGGGAGGGGGGGTATTCTTTTTCCTACAACTGTCATAAGACCTTCGTATACTGGGGGGCATGCCCCCGGTTATACGTTGTCTCAAAAAAGAGATAGTCAGACACCTCCACACGCGCGCCCCTTGGACATATGAACTCCCCCCCCCCCCCGCGCTTAGGTGTGCATGGAATTACATATTCGCTCTGATTTAATTAACTATTAACTTCCTCTGAAGTTTCTAAGTCGTTCTCAAGTTCTCCTTAAATTACCATTTGCTCCCCTGAGATTGTACTATCCCCTGGGCTATCGTATATTGCTTCTTATGAATAATCTGCCACTGTTGAAGTTTCAGTTACACTAACCGCTCGCATGCTTTCAGGGGTTTCAGCACGATCGATCTCGTCGAGAACGTCGCGACGAAGAGGTGCTACGCGGTGAAACGCATAATCTGCCACAGCGTCGACGACCAGAAGACCGCCCTGCTCGAGATCGAGTACTGCAAGAAGCTGAGGCACCCGAACATAATCGAACTGATCGACTCGACCTTCAAAGGTTCGGCCGATATTGTGGTGAACGCGACGTCCGAAGTGTACATGGTGCTGCCGTTTTATCGGCGCGGCACGCTCCACGACTACCTGGACGTCCGGAGTGCGACCAAGGACTATTTGAGTGTTTCGGAAATTTTACGGATATTTAGCGACGTGTGCGGAGCGGTGAGGTATATGCACGAGTTCAAGCCGGAGGCGTTGGCGCATCGCGATCTGAAGACGGCAAACGTCTGCCTTACGGACGGCTTGAGTCCGGTGCTGATGGATTTGGGGTCGGTCGCGCCCGCGAAGGTGCAGGTGTGCGGTTCTCAGGACGCCCAGAGGTTGCAGGATTTGGCGGCCGAGCGCTGCTCGATGCCCTATCGAGCACCGGAGCTGTTCAATGTGAAGAGTTTTTGTGTTATTGACGAACGAACTGATATTTGGGTATAGTAATCAATTTTTTGTCTTCCACTCCCTTCTGTTAGTTTTTAGTGGTCAGGATCACAAAACCCCGAGTAGGTGACATGCCCTTACGAAAGATGTGCTCCTGTTACAAATTTATTTCTTACAGGACACATCGGAATCAGAAAACGTTCAAAAACGTCTGTGAATCACAGCCGCACAATCTAGAACTAATGCCTCCTAAATTATGAGCTCCTGACCTCCTGTTACAAATTCCTCCCTTAGAGAACGCACCAGAATCACAAAAGAGCGAGAATATCCAAATTACACCTTCTTACGTTTCATGTTCTACTAACTACAAGCGTTTCCAAAAAGTGGGAGAAGGCTGCCACTTTCTTACGTATTATCAGGATCACAGAATCTCGGCAAGGTGCAAAATAGATAGACTGACACTTTCTTATGGACGAAATTCTCCAGTTTCTGTGCTCCTGGCCCGTTTTTAAAATTCGCCTTGTACTTAATTGCCTTAAAATATATCAGGGGCACAGAAACGCGAGTCGGAACAAATTACCCATATTAAATTTAACTGACGCCTATTTATAAGTTTATGTTCTCTTGATACGAGTTTCTCTTAAAAAAATGTATCATTAATCCATCTTCGTAAGTACCTATTAAGTTATCCCCATCGTTGAAGTTTCCTCCAATTTTACAAGACGATCTCCTTAGAGTCTTTTCATGATTTTCTTATATTTTCCCTCTTCTCCTCACCTTTCTTGTACATTTCCCAGCTGTCTCTTACAGGGGAAGGGAGGTAAATTTTCAGGAGGTATTGTGTGAGCAATTTTGGGGGATGAGCAAATTACTCGCCCCTCAGGACGTTAGGGACTGCTTCATAAATGACCATGATGTTTTGTTGCAGAGTCTCGGCTGTGTTCTGTACGCGATGTGTTATTTTAAATCGCCGTTCGACGCGGTGTACGAACGCGGCGATTCCGTGGCCTTAGCTGTGATGTCGGGAAAGATCCATTTTCCCGAGGACACGCCTTTTACTCAGGTTCGTGCCCAGGCGGCCACTACCGTAGGTACTTAATTCGGCGCGTGTTTGTTACAGGAAATGCATGACTTGGTTTCGTTCATGCTTAACGAAAATCCCGCCGAGAGACCATTTATTACCGATGTAATCGAGAAAGTTGACGATTATGTGAGAATTTTAGATAACCAAGTGTAATATACGTGCTCACGTTTTGCAATTTGTACCTAACTTATTTTTGTGTAGATAATTGTGCATTTGTATCATATTTTATACAAAGATATATGAAATAAAAATAGGTAAATATAAACCATCCTGTATATACCTACTCCTAAATCTCAAGAACAGCAGTAAGTGTGGCTAGTTACTCAGTGGAGTTACAATGATTCCTTCACCTTTCTTGGCATTCGCTCCTCCATTTCGGCGCCCGTCGACATACTTCCCCCACTGCCGCGTTTCCTTGACGCTTTTTAAATACGTCGAGCTTTGTTCACGTCTCCGTCAAGAGGAGTTCGTTTGGCCTACGTTTCCCGTTATGCTGCCCCCCCCCCGCCATGCTCACCAGCTGCTTTCTTTAAACATGCACGTCATCTTTCCGGATTTTTAAGATCTCCAGGGTTTTTTCTTGTCATTCTTGAAGGAGTTTCTCCGCATATTTCAAACCATCATCATGCTTGCTCTGCATCCCCGCTCTCCTCTTCGCCCACCTCACCGATACTTCAAACGATTCCTGTACATCCGTAATATCCTCCCACCCCTCACGCTTCCATTATGCCTCATTGTATACCTCCATCGCGTTTTCTTGAGGGCGACTTCACATCTGCCTTCAAGTCTCTTCTTTACGTTTTCACCACTTTCCTTCTTCCCTGCTTCATATATCTCTCAGGTATCACATTTTCCCCTCGTGTGGTTAGGCACCCATCGGGCGCGTCCCCGGGTGGGGGATAGGGGAAAGCCCATACAGACACCTGAATGATCGTACGTGACTCGTGCTTCGGTGTGGGTAGTGACGATTATAAGTGGCTCGTCGGGGCTAAAACCCAGACTGGTAGCGACCTTCCAAGTCAAGGTGTTAGCGACCGTGCCGAGGACCGCGTGGCACTGGGGTGCAGTGTCGATAACGGTGCCCCTCGGATACCGGGCGACCTCCGAGTGGTGGCTCCTTTCCTTTGGGAAGGGGCTGGCAGCCAAGCCCTGGGCAAGCGGCTCTGCCCAGGTGAGACCGCATTTCCGCACTACTCGTGGGAATTGTATGGAACTTTCAGACAAAACCTATCTGGGCTCCTCGTAAGAGGGGACCAACAAGCCGGGCCCTCAAAAGGGGTCCGGTAACGGGGCAGGCCCCTCGAAAGAGGGGACGGCTCCAACGCAGGGCCTTACCCAAGGACCTGGTGGTGGGTCAGCTCCTATTCGCAAGAAGAATAGGACTGGCGCACAGAAGGCGATGGCCAGGAAGCGCCGGCTCGAGGGGGCAACCCGACGTCAGGGACTAAGCGTCTCAGATCGGAGGGAAGCACTCCAGGGTCTTGCTCAAGGCAGCCTGAGAAGAAGCCTAGAGGTTCTGATGCACCCAAGGGTGCACCACGAACTTATGGGCAAGTCGCTGCGGCAGGGCTTAAGATGGCCGTCGTTCCGGTTTCATACCCGGAGGTGGACATCTCTGAGGCTCAGTCGAGGTGCATTATGGCTGCATTGAATGCAGTCGTAGACCAGATGGAGGGAGGGCCCTTTCCTCGGCTGGCAGGGTTCCGCTGGAATCCGCAGGGTGCCATCGTGGCCGAATGCGAGGACCAGTGGACCTTGGACTGGTTGGAGAGGACCGTCCCTCTTATCCGGCCCTGGGATGGCGCGTCGCTGAAAGTTCAGAGGCACGTCCCGAGGGTAACCAAGGTGATGGCTGTGTTGTACGGGCTCCCGGATGACACGGACACCATTTTGAAGCGCCTCCAGAGGCAAAATCCTGGTTTCAGGACGAATCTATGGAGGATGTTCTTTCGCAGGGAGGAGCCTGGTAGGATTCTCCTCGCATTTTGTGTCGATGAGACGTCCTATCGGGCACTCCAGCGACAGAACTTTCAGGCGCACGCGGGGGTCTCGCGCGTCACTTTTGTGACGAAAGCGGGTGCTCCGGCTGCGCAAGGTAAGGGAGAGAGCTCCACCGAAGCAGCGGGACCTAGTTCCGTTGCGACGGAGGGGGCTCAACCTCGCAGTGTTGATCTCGAAGAGGCGGCGGGATTGCTCCCGGCGCCCGAAGAGATCGAGAAAGATGTCAGCGAGCTTTTGGCTCGTGTGGCGGTTCTTGGCTCCGACCAGGGGTCGGAACCGTCGGCATCGCTAACGGAGGAGGGAACCTAGTAGGTACATCAGTGATGGACAAAGTAACCTTCTTACAGAGCAATTTACAGCACAGTAAGGGGGCGACCTGTCTAATAGGTCGTCAACTTGCTGTAAAGCAGACAGGCGTATGCCTCATACAAGAACCTTGGGTTTACAAGGGACGAGTAAGAGGTCTGGGCCAGGTGGAGGACTCTCTTTATTATAAGAGGGACAGCCAACTAAACCCGAGGACTTGCATTTATGTCGATAGACGTATCGAGTCTTATCTAATGGCTGATTTTTGTTTCAGGGATCTCGTAGCTCTACGACTTCAGCTGAAAGATGACAGAGGACGGGGCAGGCACTTGGTGGTCTGCTCCGCCTATCTCCCGTACGACTCAGAAGGGGCTCCACCAACCAAGGAGCTGACTGAGTTGATAGAGTACTGTCGAAGTAGTGGGCTCCCTCTTGTGGTTGGCTGTGATGCAAACGCACATCATGTTGTGTGGGGCAGCACGGACACGAACTCGAGGGGCGACCACCTTCTGGAGTACTTGCAAACAACTGATTTGAATGTTTTAAATCAGGGAGCAGCCCCTACCTTCGTCACAGCGCGGAGGCAGGAGATCATTGATCTGACGCTGGGCTCCTTTTCAATAGCTCACATGATCACGAATTGGAGAGTGTCTGATGAGCCGTCGCTTTCGGACCACAGGCACATTCTTTTCCAACTGAACCTGGCATTGCACTGCGGGCCCTGTAGGTTTCGGAATCCCCGATCCACTGACTGGGACTGCTATGTGGCAAAACTGTCGGACCGGTTGGATAGACCACCTCTGCTCTGTCGGAAAGCAGGGCAGGTGGAAGAGGCGGCCGCATTAGTAAGCGACGCCATAACAGCGTCCTATGAGGACAGCTGTAAACTGAGTACCTTTCGAGGAAAGAAGAGAACACCTTGGTGGAACTCAGACCTTGAAAAGGCTCGTAAGGAGGTTCGCAGGCTCTTGAATAGGGCCATGCGAACTAAGTTACCTGCGGACTGGGGAGATCTTAAGATCTCCCAGCGCAGGTATAAGGACCATATTCGGAGGTCGAAACGAGGATCTTGGAGGACTTTCTGTGGTAACATGGAAGGTCTTCCTGAAGTTCAAAAACCTCGTAAAATCCTTTTGAAGGACCCGGGGCAAACGGTGGGGACACTGAGGCTTCCATGCGGTAGATATACGTCTACCGCTGGTGAGGCACTCACATGTCTCCTGGAAACACACTTTCCAGGCTCTGGGGACTACTTAACTTCGGGCCCACCAAAAGGAGCTACTCGGGTCGGTGTAAGGCCGATCAACTGGAAGGTAGCTTCCCGGGTGGTTACCGAGGGATCTCTGAGATGGGCGGTCAACACGTTCAGCCCATTTAAGAGTGCAGGACCGGATGGGATATTCCCGGCTCTTCTACAGAAGGGTCTGGAGCCGCTGCTCTTACACTTGTTGCATCTCTTCAGAGCCTCTCTGGCATTCCCCGAAAGCTGGAGGAAGGTAAGAGTTGTGTACCTACCTAAGCCGGGTCGTGCTAAATATGACGTGGCGAAGAACTATAGGCCCATCAGCCTATCATCGTTTCTTCTAAAAACGGTGGAGAAGCTGGTGGATGCATACATAAGGAATGGCGTACTGGTTAGTAGACCACTACATCCGTTCCAACATGCTTACAGGGCTGGTATGTCCACGGTGACGGCTCTACACAGCCTGGTGTACAGGCTGGAAAAGGGAATGTCTTCCGGGGGATAGCTCTGGGAGCGTTTTTAGATATCGAGGGTGCGTTTAACAACACCACGTTCGATTCGATTAGTGAGGCTGCTGAGAGCTTTGGTATTGATGGGTCGATCGTAAGATGGATCCGAGCCATGCTCGAAAGCAGAGTCAATATATCCTCAATTGGGATGACGGAGATGAGCTCATCGGTTACTAGAGGATGTTCGCAGGGTGGGGTGTTGTCTCCACTGCTGTGGTGCCTGGTACTAGACGGGCTCCTCCGCACCTTGAACGAGGGGGGAGCGTATACGCAGGGATACGCGGACGATCTCGCGATCGTCATAACTGGGAAGTTTCCAAACACCGTGAAAGAGCTCATGCAGGGGGCTCGCAAACAGGTGGATCTGTGGTGCAGTAGCCATGGCCTTTCCGTTAACCCGGAAAAGACCGAGGTTGTTTCATTCACGAATAGAAGGAGAGCGGATCTTACTGGACTCGCTCTTCGAGGACGTCAACTGGGTCTGACCAGGTCAGTGAAATACCTGGGAGTCATCATTGACTCTCGCCTGACCTGGAAAGGGCACATTGAGCGCGTAAGCAAAAAGGCCACTGCATGTCTATGGGCATGTAGAAGGGCTTTTGGTTGTACATGGGGCTTGAACCCTCGACTGGTATACTGGCTTTACACTGCAGTGAGAAGGCCAATAATACTGTATGGTGCACTTGTATGGTGGCCTGCCATGCGCAGGGTAACCTACAGGAAGCAGCTAGGAAAGGTCCAGCGACTCGCCTGTCTGGGAGTAACTGGAGCCCTAAAAACCACGCCAACCTTGGCCATGGAGGCACTTCTGGGACTAGAGCCTTTACACTTAGCTGTGGAGGCAGAGGCTCGGAAAGCTTCCATACGGCTAAACGATTGGGACGAATGGAAGGATCGAGGCAGCCTTGGGCACGGGCGGATCTGGGAGGAAACCCTCAGGACCGATCCCCTCCTCGCAAGGAGGGACGTGATCCGGGCTATCTTGCTAAGACCAAAGCGTTATAAAGTCATTCTCCCGGATAGGGAGCAGTGGCTGAACTCGGATTGCCCGTTCCTCAAACCTGAGGGGCTCGTGTGGTTTACAGACGGGTCCCAAACAGAAAGGGGAACGGGCATGGGCATATATGGTGATCGACCGAGAGCCAGCGTCAGCGTCTCCCTTGGTCAGCATAGCACCGTGTTTCAGGCAGAGATGTTAGCCATCATGACCTGTGCA